AGCCTAACCTACCTCACAGGGTTCTTGCTGTAAGGTTAAAATGGAGAAGAGAACCTTGTAAGCCATCTTGAGTTCCTTGCAAAAGGAAGAAAGGCTAGATATAAAAGTAATACAATAGTAATTATAATAATAATCCAGAAATATGCAGCATTCATAATATTTTCTAGATCAAATTTTACAAGGATGCTTTTGGCTACCATAAAAGCTGGTACAATCACTTATAATGAAAATATATTGTCCTACAACATCAATAAAAAGGTTAAAATATAGTCCCTTGCTACCATTCTTTGCAATTCAACCAGCAGATTCAAATCAATTCAAAATTTTAGGAGCCAAAAGTTATTTTAAGGCTGAAATCCAATGTAGAATTAGATATACTTGATGTCATTACTTTCCAAAGTTTCCAAGTCACCTAACCTTGTACAGGATCAACCTGTAGGATAAAAGAGAGATGGCCAGATTAGCCACCCTCTAGGGGAAGTTCCATAATAAGGGCACCATCAATGAAGTAATTTCTAGGAAATTCTTGCTGAAGTTTAGATGGCAAGGGCACCATAATTATAGGGATTTATCTATAAGGATAAATCTAGCACTGGTTTTACTTATAGTAGATCCACTGAAATTACTGTGGTTTAAGTTAACCAAGTGTAATTTTATCCCACTCAGGGAACCTTATTGGCTAAGGGGGCAAGATAAAATTCCAATAAATAAATATATAAATAAATTCTCAGTCTATTCTCAGTAAGAACTACATTGGATACAACCTATAGTCTCCTTAGCAATCATCTGTGCTCCAGTTTCAGTATACTAGTCAAACAGTCTGTCTATTCTTGACCTACAGAGGGAAGGCTTGAGAGTTGTATGTTGCTCCTGCCATCACCTGCGATCTTAAAGAACCTCCATCTCCCATTATGTAGCTTCAACAGCTCTTCTCCTGAGCTGATACGCAAAGCACTCTTTATTCTCCTTCTCAATGTAGTGTGAACGGCAACAGACACTCTTTCAGAGTTCTCTTCTTACACATCTCAGCTATTCTCTCATATATAAGTTTGCATGTTATATGACATATTATATGCAGGAAACTAGAAATAAGCACAAGGTGGGGATGCAACACAGCCAAGGCCAGTCGCATTTACCCTGAGGAAAAACCAAATTAAAAGGAGTGTGTTGCTTGGTTCAGGAAGGAGTGAATTTGCAGTTCTGCCATGTGCTGTTGGTAGATCTGCAGACTCACAGTTCAGACCTTGTTCAACTCTAACTATGGGTATTGCTAAGCCCTAGATGCAATCAGGATTATAGGGTTAAAATAAATATAATGAATGGGAAAACACTGTTTCTTCCACTATATAGGCAAACTGTCCACAATAAATGAGACACTCTAATCCATTAATATGTTTTGTGAAAGACTCTGTCAAACTGGAAACAGAAGATACCAGGCATCATATAAAACATTCAGAAATTTCTGAACCAACACAAAGGTACTTCCAGATAAAGAGTATTTGACTATCAGATTTATTGATTCAATACATGTGACATCAGCAAGCCAGATGGGGACCATGTCTATTTCAAAGGCTGATTATTGGGAACTAGCATGACCCTTGTAGTGCCCCAGGCAAACAGACTATCTGAAGTGCAAATGCTTATGTTAGGTTTCAGCTTTCCATTTTTCTTCAATTTCCAGTTCAGTACCACTTTAGCTTTAACGGAAACTGCTGTCTAGATCAAGACCAAGCAGATGTTACAAAATATTTATTTCTCTCAATTTAGATATAATTCTCCTTAATTATTATTTGGTGTGATAGTACAATCTTATGTTGAGTCAGAAGTAAATCCTATGTTCAGTGGGTCTTATTCCTAGGTAAGCATATATAGGGTTACACTGTTATAGTCTGGTATGATTTTGGAAATATGATTTGCTGTCAGCCAGCAAATTACATTTTGGCATTTTGTCTAATACAGATATAGTTATGAACATAGTTCTATCCTCTGGAAATCCTACCATCATAGAAATGCTGACCAGAGGGAAATGCAAACAGGAAAACATCTCTAACCCATGATTTCCCTGGACATTGGGAAACTCAAATCATTCTTTGGGTTTTAATTTATGATAAGTGCAAACCATGAGTTGGTGTTGTCTGATGGCTTAACTGAATCTCTGTTTTGAAGGGAGCATGTTCTCTAGGATTCAGGGATGGGCAATTTGTAGCCCTCCAAATGTTTTGGCCTTTACCTCTCATGGCACATCACCATTGCTTGGGCTGGTTAAAGTCAATAGGAACTGTAGGCCAAACCATCTGGAAGTTGCCCATCCCTGCTTTGGATGGCCATCAGTCCTATGCAAATAAAATACATAATGTAGACTTTCATGGCACAATCCTATGCAAGCTGAGACAGAAAAAGGCCTACAACTCCCAGCATGCCCCAGCTAACTCCGTTTCACAGATGGAACAGGGGGGTATGTTATTTAAAAAGTACACAAAAACAAAAAGTGCTATATGGACAAAATTATATATAAGAAACAGACAGAGAGTACTCTCAGTTTGGAATATTAGTTTTCCCAACTCAACATTCTTACTGACTCAAGGTTTGGTCCTATCAACAAAATTAATTCACCTATCAGTTTCTGCTACCCTTGAACTGATTAATGTCCCCAAATCTGATTGTTTAAAGTTAATAGCTTCCTTACTGATATATATGCACATATATATAGCGAGAAAGAGAGAGGTACACAGAAACAAACTATAATTCTTGGAAAAAAAATAATTCATGGGAGAACAGGTCTATCAAAGTCATTGATACCCACAGGAGCTAAATGGAACCTCTACCTTCAGAGGGAATTAACTTTTGAGTTCCAAATGCTTGGGACAAACAAGGCATGGACATCACCTTCATATCTTACTTGGGAGCTTCCAGAGATTTCTGGCTAGTTGTTGTTGGAAGCAGAATGCAGATTAAATAGACCTCGCAAAGCAGTTTCTAGATACTGTAAAATACAACACTTATTTTCTCAATGTGGTCTACATATTTTTACAATTTGGATGTTTTCACTTTCTAACTACATGTGTATGGAATAACTGTTTCATGGAATGTTTCCACATAGATTCATTATTCATGGTTGCCAAAAATTAAGTTTAGGAGCAATATCAAAAACTTTATAAACTTCATACCCTGAAGCAACCCTCAAAATGGCTGAGTTTCCTTGCATGCTACCAGAAAAGTGTTAGAATATACACAGAAAACATATCTTGTTTGTCTTAAAAGAGCACAGTGTTATCTCATTATTTTCCTGCAACAGCCAGAGGTTTGTGACTTTAAGAATGAACTCAAATAAGTCATAACATTTCTTGCTAACTCCAAGAGTTAAATATAAAGTAACAATTGGCCCTAATAGGTAGGCAAAGAAATATTGTGTGCATATAAAGAAGGGAGACATGTATGTATGCATGTTATACAAGATAATCCTTATTTATCCTTGAGATTACCCTATTTCAAGGATTGCAAGCACAAAGGCCCCTTTGTTCTACCTGTCAGAAGTTCCAGAAGAGACGCTATCTATTGCAAAGATTGGCAAGGATGCCACATCTTTCACAGCAATATAGCTAGTTTTTCAGCTACACGCCTCCTTATTGAATTCAACAGGAAAAGCAACATCCAGTAGGCATCTCCCTATGAAAGTCACTGCTCCACCAAATCCGTATACACGTGAGTTGTTTTCTCCAGGAAGTGTATATATCCTATTTCCAGAACTTCGACAAGACAGCAGCTTAAGGAATAACAGGAATGCTGCAATCACAAACACACATCTGAAAACAGAGTTTAGTTTTAAGCCAGGACATAGCCTAAGAACCTGTTTTCTGAACTCGGCTTCAGCCATTAGTCGTCTGGGGTGGAGTGAGGAAAGTGGGGAAGAGTGTATCACCGCATGTTCAGAGCATGTACAGAGTGCCTTGCCTTTTCCTCCTAGAGAAACCAGGGCGAGCTGCCAAACAAGAAGGCGTGACTTTCAGGGAAATTGCAGCCCTGGCACCTCTCCTTTAAAATTAAAATCTGGTTTGGCGACATGAGGAACATGAATGACGAGCTGGGGGACAAAAGGGTCTTATTTGGGGCGGGGGTCCCTTTTGTCCACGGGATGCTCGCTCCGTTCAGTCAGCTAGGGAAAGACAGAGAGAAGGCAAGTGGGGAAGTACAAGTGGCCAGAAGCGAGTGTGTCAGGTACGTGAGGAGGGGCAGCCCATGTCGTTTTGTGGCGCATCAGCCTGTCAGAGGGAGGTGGGGAAACGGAAGGCTACGCGTCCGTCTGCCCGGCGGAGAAGGTGCGAGAAGCCGTATTATACCAAGTAGAAGAAGAAGAGATGGGCAAGACTCGGTTCGCCTACCAGGTGCGAGCGGTTCTTCCCTTCCCCCTGGTTACCTGTGGAAGGAGACGGCCGCTCGACCCCGGGGAGCTTTGCCCTGCCGGTTGGAGCAATTCAGCGCCGCGCAACAGATCACCATCTCTGGAGGCCGCGCGAGCGGCCCTGCCTCTCCCCCTCCTCTCTCCACCCCCCTCTCCAGCCGTACAGCAAGATGGCGAAGCCAGACCAGTCACCACAGCGGTATCGCCACACCCGTGAACTCCACCTTCCGTACGGAAAGAGCTGTCATTCGAAAGAGCGGCTTTCAGGAGCTATTTGGTCACAGTAGCAATTGCTGTGCAAGCAACTAATGATCTGTCTTATTAATTAAGTCGCTGTTAGGCGATCTAGAGGCAGAGAACCAATCTCTGCTAAGTCCCATATTATTAGAATAAATCTCTGACGTAAACTAGTTGCGACCGCCATATTGGAGAAAAGGGGTGGTGCTTGAATACTCCGTACAGGAAGATGGCGGCCTCTATTCTGTGCTTTTGCACCAGTCGTACAACTTGGAGGGGGTTAAGGACAGAAAGTGGTGATAAACAAAAGCTCCTCCCACTTCAGTAGGATAAGAACCTAAATGAACCTATTTCACGGTCTTACACTGTCCGTACAGCACCTCCCAAGCGACAGAAGGAAGCAGTGCAGCGCAGAGTAGCTTGCGACCTCTTCAGCTGACCTATCCGCCTCTCATATGGATGGTGAGAAGCACTGTGATTGGACGAGAGCCGGGCTGTCAAGGCGAGCTGGCTAGAGTGCGCCGCTGTGGTGATCTGTGTAAGGAGGTAGCCGTGGCCGCCCCAGAAGCTTCACTGGGGGCAGGATGGATGCGGGTGAGAAGGGTGTAAATGTCGGGGGTGCTGTGGGGTTGGGTTAGAGTGGGAAGACTATTTGGGGGGAAGAGGTGGAGCTTTCTTTGTGTTTGGGGCTGAAAGCTGCGAGGGTGCGAAAGGAAAAAAGGGTCGGACCATGTCAGGAGAGGGCTTCCTCGCGGGGTGGGCTGGCGAGGCGTCTCTGTGGCTGGGCGAGAGAATTGTTCAATGGGGGAGGGTGGTGAAAGATCTTTTCCATGGGGCTAAGACGTGGCATCCGAAGAAGACGCGCTTCATAATAAAGGTGGTGGCTGGATAAAGTTGCTTAAAGGAGTCGGGCAAGCGTGCTGCTTCGCTTCCCACTCTTTTTAAAATAGAGACAGCTGCCATGACATTGAATGTAACTCTCACATTCATAGTCCAGGCCAGCATGATGTTGTTTGTCCTGACATGAGTAGATAAAGTGGTTTACAGACCACAGGGTTGGTGCTTCATCATCATTTGATGCCTTGAGTTACTGGAATGTGTAAAGTTTTATAGAGTTAATAAGATCTCAAAGATCAGAGAAAGTTAATGTAAGATTCCTTTTCAGTTAAAGAGTGAATTGCATATTGCTTTCCTACCTAAGTAGTGGTGGTGGAAGGGATGTGATACTGTATGTGACCGCTATTTGACAATTGATGCTAAAATTGTTAGTAACTGTCACAGCTGACACTTTAAAAATTTATTCCAGATGGTAAAGAATAAGATGGTGAATGTGGTAACACCACATTCTGCCCTTATTTTATATATTCATTAATTCATTCATTCATTGTTATACTGCTCCGTAACTGAAGTTTACATTTATTTTCTGTTTTTCCTCAGTGGGTGAAAAAAAAGTACAACACTCTTTATAAAAGGTTGAGGCTACTGATAGTTTTTGTTTTCCTAAGTGAGATAGTTAAGAAATAAACATAATATCTCTGTGTATGTGCTAAACTACATTAAAATGCCCCAGATGCATCACTGTTGTTTGTCTCTGACAGAACTGCAAGGAACTCTTTAGTGACATGTGATCAATTGTCATATGAGTATTAACTGTTCTAGATCAATTGTGGCACAAAATGTATGGCTGCCAAACAATGAAAATCTGTGCTCCTCACTCCAGTTATAAGGACTCTCATCTTTTGGCTGCAAGTCTATACCCCCTTACCTGGGAGTAAGTTCAATTCAATTTCAGTAGAACTTGCTTCTGAGAACATATTCATATGGTTTCAGTGAACAAGTAATACGTGAAGAACAGAAGGATTTTCTTTATTACTGTCATTTACTTGCATGTAATATGTTGATTAGTATGAATGCTTATAAGCAAATCAAAATTGTGTTTGTGGTCATTCACTGGTGACTTCCTTGAGGAAGAACATTTCTAGTTCTGGACAAATTGTTGGTCCTTTCTTGCTTTATATTTGTTGAAACAATAAAGTCACAAACTGCATGAGTTTTGTTTCTTCATTTGTTATAATTGTCTGAGGACTTCTGCAAATGTACAAGACTGTATGTCACTGTTTGATGCAGGATAACAGTATCTCCCCTCTTTTTAGCAGTTCATTTCATGCTTGCCTTGCTTGTGAAATTTTTTTTTTCAAAGGCTGTTTCATATAATTACAAAATAATTACACCCACCCAAAAGCTTCAAAAGCTTGCAGCCACTTTTGACTCCCCTCACCACCTTATCAACTTTTCAACTTTTATCTGTCAGAAATGCATATCAGTTACAAGGTAGTAACAGGGATTGATAAAGATATATACATTTCAGGGCAGAGCATAATGCAAAGGGGAAAACTATGCAAAGTTCATAGCAGTGAACTTTTGAATGTGTGTACTTGCACAAGACTTTTTTAATTACTGAAAGCATTTAGGATACTTTTTAAATATCCTTTCTTCATGACTTTTAGATGCATAGGGCAGAGGCAGCTGACAAGGGATGAGATAGAACAGCAGTAACACTAGTGAGAACAGAAAGAATGGCAGAAGTTTGTACCACTCTTTCTAGGTGGCTCTGTAGCTGTTCCCAACAACAGATCATAGAATCATACATAGAATGGTAGAGTTAGAAGGAAGCAGAAGGCCATTGGGTTGGTCCTACCTCCTGCTATCGCAGGATGCTAATTTACACCATCCCATTTAGATGGTTGTCTGAACGCTTTTTGAATGTCTCCAGCAAAGGAGAGCCCACAATTTCCTGAGGTAATAGGTTCCATTGTACTGCTCTGACAGTGAGGAAATTCTTCCTGGTATGTAGTCTAAATCTAGTTTCTTTTAACTTAAGTCTGTTATTCCATGTCCTGCACTCTGGAATGAATGAGAAGATATCTTGTCCTTCCTCTTTGTGACAGTCTTTGAGGTATTTGTATAGTGCTGTCATATCTCCCCTCTGAGGCTCAACATGCCCAGTTCTTTCAGTCTTTCCTCACAGAGCTTTGCCTGCAGTCCCTTAATCATCCTTGATGCTCTACTCTGTCCTGTTTCTAGCTTTTCTGCATCTCCACAGTACTCCAGGTGAGTACAGCAGAGAGAAAAAGGAGAATTATATAAGTAGCTTTAGGTTTGTTTTAGAAAACAAAGGTGAATATTAGTATAAGAAATCTGTAAACAAGAACAAACTATGGGTTCTTAGGGCAGTTTGTTTTAGAAAAAGCCTACTGTTAAAAACATTCTCCAGGTATGGATATTATGACAAGCTATCCTGAAACAACCCACAGTGGCAGCACACCATGACTTATCATGTTGTTCAAACTAGGTTACTGTAATATAGCAGCAGTAGTTGCAATGTTCATTAGAGGCAAAGCTCCCTGGAGAAGACAGTCATGCTTGGGAAAGTTGTAGGGGGAAAGAAAAGGAAGGCCACATATGAGATGGATTGATTCTATAAAGGAAACCACAGTTTGAATTTACAAGAGCTGAGGAGGATTGTCAAGGACAGGACATTTTGAAGGTCTTTCATTCATTGGAGACAATTGGATGGCACATAACAAAGTTGCCATGTGAACATCTGCTTCAGTAAAATAATACGTTAACTACAGCTATATGTACATATGTGCACATAAATGCAATTGATTCCTGTTTGATTTTTCTCCAGTTCTGCTTTCCATAGTTACTTCATGTGAACTGTTCCTCATACACTAAGGTTGTTGAGTTGAGGTTTTCAGGTATCCTTTCTTCCATAATGGACAATAAATGGTTCTTGTACCTGAAGAGTTTGGCTCCATTACCCAGGTATAGAATACATGCCTTAATCAATGTGAGAAAGTGAACTGGATGCTTCAGGATACCTGTTTGTCTCATACGTTTGCTATTTGGCATGCTTCATATGTGCATTTCAGTGATTACGTTATTGTGCAAAATGCAGAGTGGATAATAGTTGATGAACCATAGTTCTTTAGTGAAACACAGTGAAGACTGGCTAACCCAAGATGAACAGCAGAGTAGGGTTAGAATGGAATGGAATTTATTATTTTTGCAGGTGGTACTTGGCACACAATGGAGGCATTCACGTTACATGGTAGCCCACTGTGGCTTCTTTAATCCAGTGACGATTGCACATGTGAGGCAAGTGAAGACACCATTTGCAATATCCAGCCTTGCGTGGAGGTTGCTTGTTGAGTGGCTTTTGCAAGCGTTAAATGCTTTGTGTTCTGTCTGATGGCTGTTCTTCATGTGAGAGTTGTTTAACCCTCATGTAACCCAGAGTTGCCAGGTTTGCATATGCATTCTAATACCATCCATGGCATACCATCCAAATTTGGCCACTGTGTAAACAAATCCAACTCTCATCCTGGTCTCCAGCACATGGCTCTGAAAGAAGCCGCATTATTTTATAATGGACTGCCTATTATGTCATCATCAAAATAAAATAAAACTTTTGGTAGTGGTTTTGTGTATGTGGAGATTGCTTCTGTTCAGAATCATAAGTCCATTATCCTGAGGCCATTATCTTGAAACAGTTTTTTTGCTATCAGTGTCCAAGGTCAAAACTGAGCCAGGGATATTGTGGTGAACAGTTCCACAACTGCCACATGTCTATGATTCTCAAGCTCATCTTTCTGCTTTCTGGTTAACAACATACTACTTTCTTGGCCACAATACCTGGATGGCTGATGTACTTTAATACAGAGCAGTTATTGCCATTGTTGGAGTTGCCCTAATAAAAGTTTCGTACTTTAGAATATAGAAAGCTTTGCCTGTTTCCCTTCACCCCCTCCCAATCTGCAGGGTTTTTTTCCCATTCAGGTTCCTTCTGTGGGAAAAGGAGCCGAGTCCAGGATATGCAATGATTTACCTGCTGGCAAATTGTTCTCAAATGCAGAGCACAACCAGCAGAGGGATGGTATCATGAAACTAATTTGAATAGTCACATACTGGGCCTGCTCTCTCATTGCAAAAAAAATTCTGATTGTAAAAAGCAAACATTGAAGCCTGTTGAATTTTGTAATTCCTGATTGGTGGTGGTGGTTGTTTTTTTAATCTGTTACTCAAGTGCTGGATGCATCATGATGTTTTCCTGACGTGTCTGATAGTAATTTTTGCTTCTATTGTTCTTGCATATTGCCCGTTCAAGGTCTCCTTCCCCCTCCCTGCAAAAGCATTCATGTCACCAACTCCATAAAATACTCCGTGTTTCCTCATAGTCAGTCTGAAACTGCAACCCTTCAGTTGCAGTTGAAGGGTTGAAACTGCAACCCTTCAGTTAATCTAGAAATTTCTGTTTGCTGTAAATAAACCGTTGAGTGCTTGATTGTATGCTTCCACTGAATCCAGGTATTCATTCCAAGCAAGTCTGGAAGCCTGACACCATGTGCCTTAATTGTTATGCTTACTGACTGGGGACAGGGTAAGGAAATACACTGGTGTGTGTAAGGCTAATTTACATATAGAAAAGCTTATATGGAAGTGTGTTCATTGGTAGAACTCTATTTTAGAGCAATGTATTTAAAATCAGATTGCCAGGTCATTTCATTTGTTTACTCATGATTTTGCAAGAAAAAGTGTTGATGGAACTTAATGACACAATCTAACCAGTCGGTGCTTCCATTCATTCTTTTGTTACATACACAAAGCTATAGCTAACTGAAGCTCTTACTAACTGTGGTCAAAAAGACCTGATAGAACCTTGAACTTCTTTGCCGCACTGGTCTTTGCTTCTCACTAGTACCCACCCACTATGAGAATCTTGGCTGTCCTGAAGAATCTGCATGTTACAATTGGGTTGCTTGATTAGCGAACTGAATAAGGAGTGGGCCTAGGGCCTAAATCATGTGGGGCCTGGCTTTCTTCTGAACTGTCTGACTTAGCTGATCACTGCAGGTATGTGTACAGAGACTGCTCATTTTTTGAAAAAAGTGAAAATAGAAAAAGTGGTGGCAGGGAAAGACTACACTACACTTCACTGTTCAGACCAAAATATTGGGAGGATAATCAAATAAATAGAAACATTTTCAGAAATAGGAATGACTCCAAGATTTTTTTTCTTTGATTTAACAAGCTTTGGTATCTTTCAGGTAGTTGGAATACTAAATTCTGCCTAGAGATTTATTGTTGGCTTACCAGCTGTAATTATGAGTTAAGTTGCACAGATAAAATGCCATTTTCTGTTGAAGACATTTTTTCTGTTGAAGACATTCTAACGTATCTCTCACTTTCTGAATGTGTCTTTTAGTCATTGTTCTTCTTAGGCAGGCTCTCTCCTAAAGTCATTTGTTCTTTGTGGTGATCCTAGTTGATAATATAAATCCAGTGTGATTTGAATGCTGAATCTTATTTCATATTTACTGTGACTCTGTGAAATGCAGCATGCTTCACAGCAAGGACCTTTTGGGTCTAGATTGTAGTGCAAAGTTGAACTGTTTTTAAGGCTGCAATCCTATGCATGTTTAGACAGGAAAAAAGTCCTGCAGCTCCCAGGATTCCACCAGCCAGCCATGCTTGTTGAGGCATGGCAGACTTTTTCTGTCTAAACATGCATGTAATTGCATCCTTTATGTATTTCTGGTTTTGTTGAAAATGGCTCAACATGCTTTCACATAAAGTGGCAGTCAGAATCACATGGCTTACAGGACATGATGCCCTCTAAGCTGAAGTTGCATATTACGTGAAATTTTAAGTGAATCTGTGATCTAGAAAGTTAAAAAACACAAAATAAAGAGGACAAAGGAGATGAGAATGTGATGTTGCAGTGTAAGTTTATTCTAAAACCTACCTTATTTTTGTTGCCTAGTTCTGATGTATAAGGAAACTATGAATACCATACTGATTCCTTGTCTTTTTTCTCCTTTATTTAAGGAGGCCTAGAATTTCTTCTGTGTATGGGGTTCAGTCTCTTACTACTTGTGATACTTTGTTTGTACAGTTTAAGACTACATGATGTTCTTTCTAACATGGCTATGAATACATTGGGGAAATAAGTGAAATGCAATATAAGAAACAAGTATAGGAATAGTGGTTTTGCTCCTAATAAAAGTGTGATATGTGACAGTTTCCTAACCTGTGTGTATCAGAAGAGAAATATACTCATGCAATCTTTTTTCATTAAGTTTTATGTTGCTTGTTCTGACATGCCCTGACCCATGGAGTTCAGAGAGGGGCAAAATTCCAAGTAAGAGTAGTTTGTCTTATGTTCTAATGTCGAAAGCATAATTTTATTCATCTATCAAATCTGTTTAAAGGTCTCCCATTAGCATCACAATCTCTCTTAAATTGTGAATCAGGGGAAAACGCAAGTAAGTTTGCTAGGAATTGCTGTGGGCTACTGCTCTATAGAACATCTATAGCTCTTCCCTAGTATGGTGAAGCTTTGCAAAGCATGAAGCCCAGATGATCCAGCCTGTGTGTGCTATTATAATATGAACAGTCATCTTATGAGAAAAAGGAAGCCTTCCTTGTAGCCTGAGTACTTGAAGGGATACAAGTGTTTCAGAATAATGCAATGCCCTTACTTCTTAAGGAAAGGTGTAGTCTTCAGGTTTTTCCAGATCTGTGATTCACTTTTAATTCTAGCCTACATGAACATGGGACCTGGTTGTAATGCTTGCCCTGCGTATTTTTTTTTTTTATCTGAACCTTCATTTGCACTCATTACTCCCTGCATCTTTTGATTTCCCTTTAAAACAAAAAGCTGGAACAAACAAAATGGCAAGGGATGACCTGAGTATGTCACACACCCTGAAAACTAGTGGTTTCCACTTACGTGCATACAGTGAAAGATCACAGTCAGATGCATCCACTAAGTGACTATTGAACTTGTTCTGTGGTGAATAGAAGATTCAGCTCAACATGGAGCCTCAGGCCCAACAACACACATGGATTGCTGAATCTTCTGTTCAGTCCCCATCCACTGGCTCTTGTGACCAGGGATTACAGGAGTTATTGCCTGACACATATGGAAGACACCTGGGAAAGACTTCATTTTGTTATGATGGTGTGCAGCAGTTAATCTGCTACTTCTCTGAAAGGTATAAAGTATTTCAAAGGGCCCCATCAATCTTATATTCATAGCACATGGCAACAACAAGGAATATACTTCTGCAGAAAGCATGACTTTGTGCTGCTGGGTAGAAAGGGTTTTAGTTAATGATTCTTTAGTCATCAAATCATAAAGAGACTCACAACCTCCTGGCTCCTTTACCTTTTTCCTGGGCTACCTCCAATAAGAACAATGGAACAGACTGCCAGCAAGAAGCAAACTAGAATGAAGCCATAACTAGAGTTCTTGGTTTTATATTAGAAGTGGGGGGGGGGGGGAGAGTTTGCATTAAGGACACTATTTCAGTGCATTAATAACCTGATCAGCATGTACATTTTGAGATGATTTTTGGTTGCTTCTGAACTTGTAGCCTTTTCTGTAAGGAGGAACATTTCAGGGGTTGGAGTCAGACATCTGTATCAACTCTTTTCCTATCTTCTCTGTTGCTCATATGTATGTGTGTGTGTGTTTCCAACATTACAATGTATGTAGGAGGAAAAAGATGGTTGGGTTTAATTATGGGTAGTTCTTATTTCATTAAGTAGTTTCTTTATTTCATTCCATAGTAGACTGCCCTATAACCCTATAAAATTTTCACTTGCATAGCATCCAGAAGTCTTTGGTTATATGGTTACAGGTCTCTAAATCTTTGAGAGAACAATTTATTTATTTATTTAGGAGGCTTCTATGCCACCCCATTCGCCGAAGCCTCGGGGCGGCTCACAATAATAAATAAACACAATATAAAAACAATATATTTTGAGTCGACCTGGCCAAAAATAAAATAAATAAATTCCCATACAGTTTTGAATGATATAAAAACCTTAAAAGCTATCATGACTATTTCATGTTTTCTTTGTTTCTTCACAGCTACTCTCACATATGATACTCTCAGGTTTGAGTATGAAGACTTCCCAGAGACCAAAGAGCCTGTTTGGATCCTGGGAAAAAAATACAGTGCATTAACAGGTATTTATTTTGCAAGTATTTGAAATCAATTGAAGAGACATAAATACTTCATACCACTACTATCTCATACTTTTGCTTTGTTGCCCCTGACTGAGATGATGGATGATGTCTTGATTGTATTCTATTTTTGTTTTCAAACCACTATATGATCTAATGAATATTTTTAAACAGCACATTCATACTTCAGATATGAATGTTAGGGAGTACCTTCTTTTTTTGCCTAGATCTCTTGAACCTAGAAGTTGAGAGAGAAAAATGCCCTAGATATGGTACAAAGTTAAAAAGCATTACATATGTTGCAATAATTTTCTAATCTGTTCTCTAGGTTTTGATGGGTCTAGCTAAAAACAAACACTTTCTTATTCTTGATGGTATGGCTTATTAATTCATTGAGTGGGTTTGCATGAAATGACAGCCAATCATGAGTGGCTAGTCATGGTGTGCTTTTGTGTCATGTGAACCCAGACCAGTTACCACAGGTGGTTTGTTTGATAGCGAGAAACTTTCCTGACAACCTGTGGTTTGTTGTAGAGACTGTTTTCCCCCAATGGATTGTTGTATTGCTGAGCCCAAGTTACCAACCCCATGTTCTTACAAACTAGATGCATTAAAAAAGCAATTATCTGATTGCGATGGTGTAACTGGTGTCCTGCAGTAGCAGGGGGTTGGACCTGATGGCCTTCTTGGCCCCTTCTGACCCAGCTGTTCTGTGAATCAGTGAATCATGGGCTTTTTGCTAGGGTGGGTCATTGCAATGTGTGACAGTGACAGTACCATTGAATTAACATGATGCCATTTTCTGAAAAAGATACTAACATATGTTGTTTTAAATTTTTTTAGAGAAAGAGGAGATCCTGTTGGATGTTACCTCTCGTCTTTGGTTCACATACAGAAAAAGTTTTCCAGCCATTGGTAAGGAGCAAGGTTAATTTTTCAGATTACAATGTAAATGAGGCATGTGTTTTCCTGGGTACCTGATTTCTCTGTTGCCTTGTGAAATCAACAAATCCTGTGTTGCTTTGTCTTTTTACTATTTGATAGGACATTCTGTCATTTGAAGAGTGCAAGAAACGTTTGGTACTCTGCTGTCTCAGTTTAGAAAATAAATTCACATTTGCTTCTGGTTCACTGCTAACACCTAGTTACATTTCAGTATTCATAAAAATAAAATGAAATATGCTCCCACCTTGGACACAGAAAGCATTAAGATACAGAATACAAAGTAAATTTGCTTTGGAGGTGGGGCTCTGTGCTTTTGGAAATCTGTCTGCCTCCTTCTTTTGTTCATTGCTCATCTACATGTAGGTTAAAAAGTTAATGACAAAGCTGAGAGAAGCTTACACTTTTTGACAACTTTGTGAATAGGACAGTTGCTAAATTTCTAAAAAACATCAGAAGCCAAAGTGGCAGTTCCAGGAATGAGGATAGATAGCATTGTCTGGAAATGACTATTCTTATAAAAATGGCATAAGAGTATACAGTTTTTAAAAAAAAATGATAATGACTAGATAAAAATTAAGGCACATAAAGAAAAGAAGAAATAATTCCTAAACCATTCCTGAACAGCTAAGTAATAATGGTTTTAGGAAATTACATATGACTATACATAAATATAGAATAATTTAATTAATTTATAACAAACATGAATGTAGTATCATTCCACAAAATGTTTAGTAAGCAGTCCTCTAATCTCACTTACATCCACATTATAAAACTTGTCTCTATTCCAGGCTGAGTACATTTACAGTGCTTTTTCCCAAACACATTTCAGCCATCAGTGAGGAAAAATATAAATTAAACGTGAATTACAGCCCTATTATCTGACAATTTAAAATATCCTGTAAAACAAGAATATACAATATTATCTCAGGTATTATCACTTACTCTATAAATAAAAATATTTTTAAAATGTAAAATAAGAAATACATGTGTTTGCTAGTAATTGTTGAGCTACTCAAGTATTTGGGATTTTCTATTATGACTCCTGAAAAGATTATAAAAATGCAAAATTTCCTCAAGTTACTTCTTGAAATAGCTAGGGATTTTGCATTTTATAACAACCATTTGTTAAAATGTGTGCTTTTTTAAATATACATTTTACTTTTCTTCTTTTGAGTTTTGCCTCTAGTATACTAAGCTTACCAGCACAGCACTGGAGTGAAGATTAATGCAGCACAATGCAGTGTGTATTTACATGGAGGTTAATTGCACTGTATTCAGTGTGGCATAATCCCCAATGTGTGCAGAGTGATGCAGGCATAGCCTGGCTTCTGGGTCTTCCCAGTCCTGTTGAGATATGTGAAAAATACTCTGATGCTCCCTATGACACACTTGCCCAAAAGGTTGATTTCTCGGCTTTTTTTTCTGGCTTTAGGGGGAACAGGGCCTACATCTGACACTGGTTGGGGCTGCATGTTAAGGTGTGGCCAGATGATCTTTGCTCAGGCTTTGGTCTGCAAGCACTTAGGCAGAGGTAAGTCAAATGCAGTGATGGTGGAAGGATATGACGCATTAGTGTGTGCAAATAATTCAAGGTCTTTGAAAAAATTATTGTAGCTGTCAAGAACTACATGACAAAGTAGACTCATTGGAAATTTATAGTAATACTTGTGTTGGATAAAAGTGCTACATAATAACACTTATAAATAAATAAAAACCAATACAATTATTTTTGCTGCTTTATAATCTTGCGGTAAAGTGTTTTATGAGCATGCATTTGTCACAGTGGAAATAAAATGTTGCAGTTATTGATATTGCTACATGACAAGAATGCAAGTAAACAATTAGCTGGAGTGCCTTAAACAAAATTAAGGTATCTGTTGCTGCTCAGCTGTATTGGAAATGAAAATATCTAGAAAATGTTGGGATTTGTTTTGGTTACATAAACTCCAAGAATAATTTCAGATTATAGTCTTCAGTATTCTGGCTCCCTAAATACGAGGGGATAATTTAAACCAGTATAGGCTTATCTAAAGAAACTTTTACAGTGATTATAGAGTTCTGCTCAACGCAACTGAAAAAGGATATTGTAGAACTGGAAAAAGTTCAGGAAAGTCAAATTTAATAATCAAGAAGTTGGAGCAGCTACTGTATGAGGAAAAGTTATAATATTTGGGACCATTTAACTTAGAAAAAAAGACATGTAAGGAGGGATAGGAAGAAGGTGTACAAAATTAGGAGTGGTGTGGAGAGGGAAACATTTTCCCCCCTTTCTTAGCATATTAGAATTCAGACTGATTCTATGAATCTGATTGATGGGAGAATTAGGAAAGATTTAAAAAGCCCTGTCATTCATTACTAGTTATAATGGCTATATATTACCCCCAGTATCAGAGGCAGTATGCCACTTGCTGGAGAACTCAACTGATAGGGTGTGACTTGACTGATAAGCTCCTTGTGGCTTTCTACTCTGTGAGCAAGATCCTAAATGAGATGGACCCTTGGCCTGATCCAGCGTAGCTCTGCTTATGCATAGAGTTGAGAACATTGTTTTAAAGCATCTCCTTTTCTGTCTCAGATTGGAGGTGGGAGAAAGGGAAGAAACAGACAGACAATTATTACAACGTTCTTAATGCCTTCATTGACAAAAAAGACAGTTACTATTCAATCCATCAAATAGGTAAGTTGATTACATATTAATATAAGTGAATCACCTACTTCTCTTTCAAATATTTTGCCAATAGTGGATTCTTCTGATAGTCTTTTTCAAAGAAGCCTACTGAAAATGTATTGTTTCTAAATGATACGAACACAGACTGTAAATGAATCTGTAAACACAAATGTAAATTCATGCTTCTGAGTCTATGTTGCAGTAAATTAGGGATGGGGAATTGGTGGCTTCTGGGCCAGACCTGTCCCGTGGAACTTCTCCATCCCCTCTGCTCTGAGGCTGTTTTTCTACTGCTTCACCCCAGTTCCCCTCAGCTTCACTATTTCCTGCTGATCAACTGAACAATGTGGTGTAGGAGATGCTGCACAGCTGATAAACAGAATAAAGCTGAGCAGCAGGGAAGAGAAGGCATGGCTGCAGAGCAGGATTTGACAGTTCCTCTCTTACCCTCTTCACTGATTATTCTTCATGAGAGTACATGGTCTTGTGAATATACTATTTTGTGGATGATTCTGTTTAAAATATCTTTTCCTATTAGATACTCTTAACTTAGGGATCAGAAAGAAATGAAAACTATTCTATAGATTGAAGTCTAAGGAGCTCTAAGTGTGTGAAGCTGGCATTTATTCTATGAAATGCATGGACAGTGCAGAACAATACGCGTATGTAGCTTTGGTGTTCAAAGATATGAAGCAGCTACAGAACTATTTGCTTTTAGCATCTTTCAAGAGTCAGGTGTTGTCCTACATGGACCTTCTTCAACCTGATGCACTCCAGAGTTATTAGACTCCTACTCCCAGGATTTATGGCCAATAGGTATGTTGACTAGTTGAAGTCTACAACATACGAGGAGCATAAAGTTTGGTAAGGGTGACTAATATGAATAGTACTTTAAAAAAAACCACAAAGAACTGCAACTGATTGATATTGCTATTGTTCTGGAAACCTCATTTTTATACTTCCCTCAATGCTTCTGAATACCTCAATAAGGATAAGTCCTTATTGAGTACAGACGTTTTCCCCATTTCTTTCTGTATGCGACCTCCGCATGCCAAGGATTATTGGTGCATTTCTCAAAAGCTGAAGCTTTTGTTCAAGACATCTCATAATTATATTTAATGGTTCTGTTGCTCCCGGGTGTTAGCAAACCATAAGTCTCTATTCAGTTAGTTAGGTACAGAAAAGAGCTTTGGAACTTTGGACCAATTATAATTTGTTTGTTGCAGCCCAGATGGGAGTCGGAGAGGGAAAATCTATAGGCCAGTGGTATGGACCAAACACAGTTGCACAAGTACTGAAGTAAGTGTGTGCTCAAAATTGTCATGGGTATTCACAAAACTGTATTTTGTATTCATGCACAGCATGAAGTTTATTTCCGTCTTCTACAATGACATGACAAGGAAAGTCAGATAAGTTAGTGCTGCTTTCCCATATTTCTTGCAAGAGAGAGTTGGCCTAACCAGTCAAAAATGTTTCATGCATTTGCAACCCACAACTAAGTACTGTCTCTGGAACGCAATGAGAATTGTGGCGTCTTTCATTCTTGGGGCTATGCTATATAAGATGAATCAAACTGTTGACATGAAGACAGGCAGAAATTTAAACTACAGCCTGGATCCTTTGGTTTATTTATATAAAGCCCAATAACAACAGTCCTCTGGGTGGGTTACAAGTAAACAAGATTAATAAAATGCAAGTATTTTAGAATGTTAATATGTATAATCCATATCATTCCATACCTAATTCTGCCAAGTGTTAGAACAATGCAGTAGTCTCAGTGTTATATAATAGCTAGCTATATTTTTAAAGCCTTTACCCTTTTGTAAACCACCCAGAGAGCTTTGACTATTGGACAGCATACTCAAGTAACAAATTAAGCTTGAATACATGTAACAGAAATAATAGCATATTCTTCTTTTGTTTACCCTGTTTCTTTCCCTCATTATGTAAGAAAAGCACTGCTGGTTAAGACAAAAGGCCTGTCTAGCCTAGCATTCTGTTTTCACAGTGGCCAACTAAATGCCTATGTAAAGTTCACAAGCAGACAATGATGCTTCTCTGCTTGTGTTCCTGGTTGATTGTTTTTCATGTCACTACTTTTGGAATGTAAGCCTCTTGAAAACACATATCCATATCATGTTCTTCATAAAGTTCCATGTACCTACATCGCACACTATATTAAAATGCCAGTTCATAACTAAAATGTAGAAAAGAATAAAAGCAGCATCTCTACAACATATCAAAAGCCAGTGTGGTTCAGTGGTTAAGACTGTGGGACTGGGACTCAGGAGATCTGGTTCTAGTCCCCACTCAGCCATGGTGCTCACTGTGTGACTTTGGGCCAGACACAGACTGTCAACCCAACCTACTTCACAGGTTTGCTGTTGTGAGGATAAAATTGAGAGGAGGAGGAAGAGAATTATGTAAGTGACCTTGAGTTCCTTGAAAAAGACAGGATAGGAATATAACGAATCTAAAACAGTACTATGGATGTGTTAAGCTTGAAGAGCCTGGGAAAAATAAAAAGATCTTCACTTGGTGCAAAGATGTGTGTAATACAAGATGCCAGGAAAATCTCTTTGAAAAGGGTATTTTCACAGCTTCAATGTCACTGAGAAGACTTAGGTATGTTAATATTCTTACTAATGAATGATTAGTATAGTGGAGTAGAGAGACGTTTGTGGCACAGTGTCACTTGGGTTTCCTATAGATTTGCATAGGAATTATTTTGCTTTACATTACCCTGTTGCTTGTAAGATTGGGAAATAGTAGTACCATTTCTATAGCCTGGAAGTATCCCTTCCCTACAAGCACTTTCTTCTGTCTTTGTTCCAGCTTCAAGTATACTCTTGGGCATTTTTGAGGGAAACTGCAGCATCTCAGTTTACACAAACCATAGGCAGGGAAGCTATTTTACTGAGTCAAGTATCAGAATATTTTTCAACTGGAAAACTTGAATTGTATGCTCAAATACATTCCTCCAAATCAGTACACTTGTATTTACTTCTAATCTATTCCAGGTCAAAATCAGTAATATGGAAAGATTGGGCGTTAGAGGGAAGACTATATTGTAGTCCATATATGTATAAGGGAAAAGAGGCTATAAGAAAAGCAGAGAGCACTGTGTAGGCACTCTTCTTCCTTGGGAGACATACTGAGGCCTCATCTGTTTTCTCCACTTTAGCAGAACTTGTTCTCCGTATGCATATATATGCACAGTAGGAATGGTAAAATGTCTGAGTGCTGCAAGTAATATGAAAGGTAATACTTGGAATGCTGCAATTGCCATCTTACATTGTACTACACAGCTAGATTCTGACTTGTGCAACATGAACACAGCCACAGAGCTTTCTGATAGTTTGAAATACCTAATACATAGCTGTCATTTCTCCTCTCTAATGTACTTGCATGTAACTTACCACTCTAGAAAACTTGCCACTTTTGATACATGGAGCTCCTTGGCAGTGCATATAGCCATGGACAATACTGTCGTGATGGAAGAGATACGTAAGTATTACTCTGTGGTTTACAGAGGTGTGTTTGCTGTTCAGTTACAAATATCCATGCTGAACAGAATGAAAATGAGGACTTGATAGCTTTAGAAAAATGATACTACTTACGAATGGCAGTGAGGTGCTGTAGATTCTAACTAGAAAAGCCAGATGAGTACAATTAATTTTAATGTCTCAGGTTCTAAAGTGCAGCTGATCTAAACAATGAAGAAGATTCTCAAACAAACATGCTTCTTGCACTAGTACTAGTAGACTAGTAATTGATTTGGAGGAGGTTTGTATGTTTTTGCCCTTATGGCCAAAATAGTGCAAGAGCAAGAATATGCTTCAGTGCTTGCATGTTATATTTGGAGGAAAGTGGGCTTAGAGCTCTAAACTTGGATTTCTAGATCCAACTGAGTCCAGTCTTGTATTCAATCTGAAAAATTCTACCTCCTGACTTTCAATTTATGATACAAATAACCGCTACTACAATATGTAAAATGAATAGCAAATTGCTCAATCTCTTCTTTACACGCACATGCACATGCAGACACACACATTTTATTACAGTCTCAGAACAATATCTTAAGTATTGATCCAAAATTAAAAACCATTTACCTTCTATGTCCTTTCACTCCCAAGGGATCAGAAAATAGTTTCCACCAGGACTTTTTTCAAGAGCAATAATATGTTCTCATATGAATTTAGCTATTGAATCAGAGAGGTGGTATTTTGGAAAAGTCAGCAACAAAATCAGTGAATTAAAACTATGCTAAGCTGAAATGCGTGATTGTTTTGTGAAAATTTTTGTCAGCACTGAGGCTTCTTTTTGGTGATTGGATTACTTAGAAATGAAGAAAGTATGTGTGTGTGTAAAATATTTCCTAATTACATAGAAGAATGAAATGGAAGAAAAAAGCATTGGAAGTAGCAGTAGAGGGGAAAAGCATATACATTATACTTTTTGGCACATCTGCAGCTCCTCAGGGGTAAATTAATCATTGACTGGCTGTCCTGTCATGTGAACTGGCCCATTGGCAATTATGATTTTGAAGTAGAATGTTATAGTAGTGTTTGCATATTAGTACTAATATACTACTCTGAAAACTCTGCTCATGGTAGCATGTGCGCCTTTCCTTCCAAAAGTCACCAACTCATATTCTACTTTGAGTTAAAAGGTTTCTTGGTAGTAGAGCTGGGAAAGATCTCTGCCTAGGACTTTTATAAGCTGCTTCCATATTCAGTAGATTGCATGGGGCTAGTGGGACCTGGGATCTGAAACAATCTAAGGTAGCTCCGTGTGCACATCCAAGCTTTCTAGATGTGCTTGAACACTTTGGTTTAATTTTTCTATGGGTGAACTGTTCCAGAAGTATGTAGGGGAATACCTATGAAAAAGCTTTGTAGGATCTTCAGAGTTCCTTAGCACTCCAAATGGCTTTATGGCCAAATTCTGAAGATTTGAGATTTTTGCTGAGATTATTTCTGTTTATGTCTTGACAGGAAGGCTGTGCAGGCTCAGTTGCCCATGCCCTGAAGCTTCAGCATTTCCTGCTATAGAATCAGATGTACTTTCCAATGGGTATCCAGGTGGAACTGAATGTACAGACAGACTACTCCTCTGGAAACCTTTAGTCCTGCTGATACCTCTCCGCCTTGGCCTCACAGACATCAATGAAGCTTATATTGAAACATTGAAAGTAGGGGGTTCAAATAACCAGAAGTACTTAAGATGTTAAAATAAACAAGTACCATGTATATATTTTTATATTATTATATCTGCCTACTTATCGTAGCAGCATTGTCAGTACTAATTTACTCTTGACAGTGTTCCAGGACTGATTTCATGTTCTATTACTGTAAGGGTGAATATTTCTGATGTACATTAGCCACTTGTGGCCGTTCAGTTGGAATATCAGGGATTAAAACAGATAATACAATTGTAGAGGGACTGGGGTTTTTTCCTCCTAAAAGTGACTGTTAGGTTACTGCCCCCTACCAAGTCCAGTTATCAGTGCTGACTTGCTCTGAATCTCCAGGGTTTCAGGCAGGCTTCTTTCCAACTCTACCTGGAGATGCCAAACATTGAACCTAGGAATTTCTCCATTCAAACTATGTGCTGCCACTGAGCTGCCTACAGCCTCTCCCCTTCCTAGTTGCTAAACGTTCATTTTTCTAATCATGTATTCCTCTTTATTTGGATGGATACTCCTACTTCTGCTAGAGTCTCTAATTGTATTTCTGTTGTTTTCTAGCACTGTTTTATGATGTCTCAGTCCTTAGGAGTCATTGGAGGAAAACCTAACAGTGCTCATTACTTCATTGGTTATGTAGGTGAGTAATCATTATTCCCAGAAGTATGCATATTGAGTTGCCTAGTTAATTATTTGGAAGGCCATTCTGAGCTTACCAAAGGAACATCTTTATTATAAATGAGCATTGCTCATATGGCACTGATCATTAAAGAAAAATATCTCTTTAAAGAACAAATGCCTATGGTTGCTTTCACAAAACTCCATGTCACCTGCCTTTTTGTCATTAGTCCACACTTAGAGGCTAGATGACTGGAGTGGTTCCTGCACTTGCCACTCTTTCCAGAGGATTCTGTGGTACCTGCATATCATGACTGCAGAAACCATGATCCTGAGTTTGGATGACACAACAAGCCATGGTGGTACAGAGACCATTGAGATAAGAACAAATCATTGTTTTTTTAAATCATGGTTTCTGAAGACCAAATGTATCATGGCAAAATACCATGACTGGCTTCAGACAACATGACAGCCCAAAAATGGTTTTAAAAAATGCTTGTTGAGTTGTCAGGACTGAGCTTGTGTATCTTCATTGCTTGAATGCAGGCTTAATTGTGGGATATGCTGCATTAGCTCCCATGGGTTATCTCCTTGTGCAATTTTTCATTGCTTCCTTTTGTGAATGTCTAAGACATCTGTGACTTTGCTAGTTCAGACCTAACTGAGATGCAGCAACAGTCTGCATGTGATCTGCTCTTTTCACATGGGAACTTCAGTATTGTATTTCCATTTTACAGCTTGTTCTGTTTATTTTCCCTAGGTGAAGAACTAATTTATCTTGACCCTCACACTACTCAGCCTGCAGTGGAACCCATGGACAGTTGCCACATCCCTGATGAGAGTTTCCACTGCCAGCATCCACCCTGCAGAATGAGCATTGCTGAGCTTGATCCATCTATTGCAGTTGTGAGTTTTTGTGTTTACAGTTCGCTTTCAAGTTGAGTGAGGACTGTTATCTGGGGTAATCTTTATTTATTTCTAGCTAATTCCTCTCCTTAGAAGGACACTGGTATTGCACTGTCTCATCTCTCCTGTCTTTTTTCTATATAGAAAAAACACTCCTGTGCTCTCCTTTTAGCTACTGAAATGTAGCTGCTTCTGAAAACATATCCAAGATATTTTCACTTTACAAGACATGATTATTTCCAGGCACTTTCTGTTTATATATTCTAGGCCAATGGAAATTTCGCTTTTCCTTCTGTAGGGCTTCTTCTGCAACACAGAGGAAGATTTCAATGACTGGTGCCAGCAAATAAAGAAGGTTTGTATGGAGCAAGTCCTTTGTGGAAAAATAAGGACAGGATAACTTTTTAAATATATGAATAATGAATTCAGCTTTGAATAGTACATACTAATACATCTGCAGAGATAGAGCATTAATCTCAGGACTTGTATAGTCTGTGCTAGACTTGTCTGAAGCTAGGGCCTTTCCTACTAGCCGAGCAATTAGCATTTTGTTCTGTTAGCACAGGTGAAGGTTGAGCATGTATTCTACTGGGAAAATGTCTTTTGCTTATTTCCTTACTTTTCTTGTGAAGCTACTCTTAGAATATTTTAAATTAATTTGACATTTTCTATCCTACTGTTATCTTTTTTAAATCAAGACAGCTTGCAAAATAAGTCCTATGCACACTTACCTAAGAACAATGCTCACTCAATGAAATGGGACTCATTTCACTTCTAAGTAAAGACACACTTTAAGATGACAGTAAGATACCACTTAGAACAAAAATAAAATAGTTATGTATTTAAAAGATTACAGTACATTAGCAACAGCTCTAAAATACAAATGCATGAAATATCAAAACTATAAAGAGAATAGCAACATTAAATAATAACTTACATTAGCAGCAGGAACATTGTTTAACCTTGCCCCAAATCTAAACAGCTGATTACATTATAAGCTGGTTGTGGGGAATGTGTGGCACTCTGGAAGCTGATGGATACAATTCACATCTTCCCTCATCCTTGGCTGATTGATGAGAAGTGCAGTTCAACAACATCTAGAGAGCCACATGCCTTCCTCTCTCCCCATCTACATTCCATTGAAATAAGTGGGACATAAATTAGTTGCATTCAACCTCCACCAAATTCAACTGGCCTTTTAAACAAGATAAACTTTCTCTGGATTCGAACCATGTAAAAACATCGGCAGAGGAAAAGGTCTTGGCCTGGGACATTCAGTTTATCAGCCAGGTGGCAGGTAAACAGTTCTGGGGATGCTACCATCAAGAAAACCCCACAGTGAAAGCCTCCAGTTAGCATGCATAAATCACAGGTAATCATGACAGTCCATTAGAGAACTGCACAGGCAGCAGTAGGATGACAGCTTCATTAGAACCAACTAAAATTTCACAACATTTATGTAAGATTTAAAGTATGCTAGAACTCTTCTTGAGGTTGCATATTGCAATTAAAAAAAGCAATTGGGTTGAGTAGAGCAAGAACTGGGGATGATGGAAAATCCTCAAAGTCTGCAGTTTGCAAAGCCTAATGAAAGAATGGTATAATGCAATTGATGGTATTATGCAAGCTCTAGAAGTGGAAAAATGATCTCCCATTGTAGCAAGGTCTGCTGGGGACAGAAGCTCCAAAAACAAAGAATAAAACTGGTGAAATAGGTACATATAATTTGTTTCTTGGCTTGTATGCCTTTGCAAGGTCGTGTGACAGTCTCCCCCTTTTACTTTTATATGCATTTTTAAGGAACTTTTTTCCAAGCATTTAGAAGAGATAGATCTGAAAGTATAAACACAGTGACCTGGTTCACACAACATGACCATTCACAGCCATGGTCAATTATCATATTGTGTGAACCTGTAACTAATTCTGTAGGGTGGCTTAGTGTTTATGAAGTCACCTTGAAAACCCATGGCTTGTTCTAGCTCATTCATACGCAAGGTGGTTTCTTGTGTTGTTTGAAGCCAGCAGGGCAACTTTGTCGTGGGTTGTCAACAGAGCTGCCTAGCAAGTACACTGAAAGACCCTGCCACTCGTGATCTCACTAGTTCCACTGTGATTCTCCCTCATCCCTGCTCAGTGCTTCTTAAAATACTGAAGCAAGGACACCAAAGGGTGTCCTGAACTTTTTTGCACTTTCTAAACACTTGTGTGTAAGAGTATCTGCTGCCAGGAAATGTGTGCAATTTTTGGTTCCATTTTACTGCTCTGTCATGAGATTTACATACGCTTAGTGGTCCAACTTACTATTTTCTAATCCAAGGGATTACACAAGATCAAAGTATCCTTTTCCCTCTCTGGTTGATTCTCCAGCTACACCCCCTCCTGGCGTGGTATAGCTTGGCCACAGTGATACAGGTTGTGGTAACCTCAAGACTTAATTATTACACTATACTCTTATGTGGGTTTTTTTTATTCTTCTATTTGCTTGGCATTTGTACTGTTTGCTGCTCCAGAATCTGCTTGGATGTGGAATGGTATACAAATAAAATAGGTTTCTACAACAGGTAGTAACAGAGGTAATCAACAAGTAAGTAGAAATGGAGTTGAAAGTGGCTGATGGCTGCAGTGAGAAGATACTTTGTGGGAGTGTTCTTCTGTGTAATGTAAAACAACTTTTAAAATGTTTGACAAGATACAGATATGGATATACTTGGCTAAATGCCAGAAGCAGTTTGGTCAAGACCACAAGTTCCCTGCCATCAAATTCAACTCATAAATATGTTCCTATACCTATTCTTAAGAGCTGTTAGTGCCTACCATCCCACAGAAAATCTTTGATTTTAAGATAATCTATACTGATAAGTAAGGTTGTGACACAGCAGTAAAGGTATGTCAATTATAAAAATTATGTCAAACACTAGGCATGCCATGGTTAAGAAATAACTAGCTAATATATCCTTTCCACTCTTTCAACAGCTGTCACTGATTAGAGGCGCCCTGCCAATGTTTGAACTAGTAGAACATCAGCCATCACACTTCTCTAGCCCTGATGTTTTGAATCTCACTCCAGGTAATGCTTACCTCCTTTTTTGCCTTTTTAAATGTCCTAGGTGCTTATGAATTTTTGTTACTCTAAATGGTTTGTTACTGTAATCGTGTTTGTATTTTCTTAGCTTAAGGATTAGCCTTGAATGTGTACTAGATAAGGCATTGGGCATTTAAATCTTCTGTGGGCTTATTCCTAACTTCAGAAAATGAAGCCTCTTGTAGAAATGCAATGGTGACCATTAAGATATACCCTCACATTAACAGAGTTTCCTTTTCAGAAATACTATGTATATCCAAATCTTGCATAACTGACATTGCTTTAGAGTTGTACAACTCTGTCTTAAGGCATGACATAGTGTGGCAACCCAGATCATGGCTCGCAAGCTCATAATGGCAGCTGTAAGTTAGCTAACTCATTGTGGGCTACTATGTCATGCAAACAGGCCTCATGTATTTATTTAAAACATTTCTATGCTGCCCCCATCGCAACAAAGCCTCGGAGTGGCTCACAAAGAATACATAAAAACATACATAAATAACAACAATTTTTTTTAAAAAAACCCCGGTACATTCTCGGCTAAAAATTTTAAAATCCTAATTAATTCAATAATTTAACAATTAAAATAAGTTTTAAATAAAAAGGTCTTAGCCTGGCGCCAAAAATAAATAACAACAGCGCCAGGCAGACCTCTCTGGGAAGCGCATTCCATAGATGGGGTGCCACTGCAGAGAAAGCCCTCCTCCGGGTAGTCACCCTCCTAATATCATTCACAGAGGGTTCCCGGAGAAGGGCATCCGTTGCTGATCTCAAGGGGCGGGAGGGCATATATGGGCACAAGCGTTCCTTTAGATATCCAGGTATTTAAAGCATTTGGTTCTGGGGATGTAATAGGCCACCAGCTCTTTGAGCATTGGATGCTGTTGCATTAATTTTACAAGGTTACCACTTGATAGAAGGGTCAGCATGATCCTCACTTCACTTTTCTAGGTGGCCATTTACTCTTTAACTGTATTATAAACATCATCAGTGTGCCTTTCACAGGCTTCCTAGTCAATGAGATTCGGCATCTAGAGCATTGGTCTTACCTTTCATAAATCCCAAGTGTATTGGGCCATCATCTTCCACAGTCTAACCTTACTTCGTAAAGGTTAGCAAGACTAAAATGCTCCTTGGAATAAGGGGACTAGCTGCTGCTGCAACATAAAACTTTCTACCTCACTAAAATGAAACAACATCTATGTGTTTACATGGACACTTAGCGCAAAGGCCGGAGGTTTATATACCCAATGTGGAGTGTAATGTAAGGCCACAGGAAGGCCTCTCTGATCACTGTTGCTGGACCAAGCTCAGCCCGCATGGCCAAGACATCAGATTTAGTACTATGACTCACCCAAACACCAGATCATGTTAAATGAGTTTATTAAGAAAGGAGAGGGAGAGGGGGCCTGAAAGGGGAAAAGAAAGGGGGAAAGGCAAGTGGATAGCAGCAGTATTACAAAGCATCAAAAATACATAGTGCCTGCACCCAACCTCCTGGACTCCTTGTTGCACCATGAGAATGAAACAATAATGCTAACCATACTCTATGAGTTACCTAATATAAGCCTCCTTGCTGGCAGAATTGGGCAGTTGGTCGGAGAGTAACACTTCTCATCAGATCAGGAGACAGAAATTCTCCAAAGTTGGGTTTTTAGGCATTCTTCTTGTGATGGGGTATTGCCAGCCAGCCAGCCAATTCAAGGGGGGCCCAGCTGCTAGCAACTCTAACCGTTACTGCCCAAGATAATAGTTCTAGCCAGATGTCCTTGGACCTATCTTTTGCAATAAGTGCAAATCGCTCTCACATCCCTGACAGTTGGATGAAATCAATTTCTTATTAGCCCTTCCTTAATTCCCAAGAATTTGACTACAGTAAGAATGTAGTACAATAGGTCTTAGGATCCAGCCATTTTCCTGAGTCATCTTGCCATAGACCTGTGATTTCTAATTTCTTTTGGGATTTCTTTTCCTTTGAAATATTGTCTAGGCACTTTTGCATGTTACTAGGTTGAGTTTGCACCAACTTGACAGAACCAAAATTAAATTCCTCTTCAAATGCAGGTCTTTTAGAAAAAGATTGCTGTTGATGTAATAAGTCAGATGATCAAGAAATAGGCAGTTCCCTTATTTAGCTTAGCAGCTATGACCTGGCAATTGTGTCCAATGGAGAAATGTACAAACATTTAAAAATATTTTAGGTGAAATATTTGCCACAGATCAAAAGATGTATTAAATTAGACAGAACCCTAGTATTTCCTTTCAAGAGCCCCCTCAGCATACTAGCCAATTTGTCTTGCTGTCATTCACTATTAATGTGCTTAGTCAAATTTCAAAACAAGTTAGATCTTTGTGCACTGTAAATTGTGCTCTTAAACATGTGTAGCATGCATGGGGATTTACACAATTACTTAAGAATACAGTACTGTGATACTGATAACATCTTAAATATGCTACCATCAGTGATATCTCCTAGCTTTTATAAATAGGGGTCCTAAATGTGTTAATAATTCATTTTTCCCTCTTCCTGCCTATGTAATACTTTTGTTTCCACCTGACTCCTGAAACAAGCTTTGTCCAGTATGGAGTTTCTATGAATATGAGATGGTTAAGTAATCCCAGGATTTAATGATGATTTTCCCTCTTTTTTCCCCCTGCAGATTCTTCTGATGCAGACAGACTGGAAAGATTCTTTGATTCAGAGGATGAAGATTTTGAAATCTTATCTCTCTAAAAGGAAGAAAGAAAAAAAGCTAACTCTGCCAATTTGTGTTGTGGGGGGAGGGGAGCTCCTTCGAGAGCCTTCAGTTACCAGCTTTCATAGGTGCTTGTTGACATCCCTGCCTCCCATCCACCCCAGCATTCTGTGCAGCCTTGGAGCAGCGTGGATTTTCTGCAGTGGGATCAAGAAACGGGTCATCATTAAGGCCTTAATAGCTTTAGTTAGGCTTTCTTTCAGTGCAAACGTACCTGCAGGAAAGGGATGCAGCGTTTCCTAGGAGCTGAAGATTATTTTTATGTTAACAGGCCAAAGGCTCAACAAGAATTTTAAAAAGCCCTTCTAGGTGCTTGATTCTTAAAGTTCTGTCAGGGAGGAGAACTTAACTGTCTTTGCTTCTGTCTCCCTTTTTGTAGTGTGAAGTGGAAACCAGCATAAATTAATGCAGATAGCATTCTCCCTAGCCTTGAAGAACATATTTGATGTTACTTGAGGATGTGAACTCTCAAGATGGAATACTTGTGCTTCAGTTTATGTTTATCTCCAATATAAGTGCTTCCAAGCAGACATATTACTGGTTTAAGTTCCAAAAATGTTCTTTACTCTGGTGGTGCCCTAGAAATTGCAGAACCTCATCATGCATAACAAATGCTACAGTAAGGCATAACCAGTATATAGAGAGGGCTTAGACAAGTGCTTATTCAACACAAAAGGCCATTTGCAGAACCTGCAAAAGAACTGACAAGTTAACAAGGGCATGGCTTCATTAAATATGACCTTTATTTGTCAGGTATTTTTCTATTTCGTATTAAATATATGGTGGCTGCTATTTAATAAAACAATTGTGGTGATGGTGGAAACATCCACCAGCTCACTTGAATATGAAGTACCTCTGATTCCTCCTTTTTGATTGTTTCCTATAGTTATAGTCTGATCATGAAATCTGGAGAGGGATATAAAGCGAGTTTTGCTTTAGTACCAAAACTTATTTTTGCAGTTGTTCCCTCCCCCTGCTGCTGCCACCACCACTTTCCCCTCTTGGAACGTTACACAAGGCCATGTTTGCATGGTGATACTCAGTTATGTTGTGATTCTTAATTTGAGGTTCTAGAGAAATGACATATTCTGGCTTACCTAGGCTGGAATTATTGGCTGCTATACTCTTAAAAAAGCAGGAGAGCTCTGTTTAGAAGAGATAGGGATGGTTAGAGAGAACCCATCACTCCCAAATGTTAGCTACCTTTCTGCAATTTACTTAGCTCCTGCAGGTGGCAGGTACATTTACAAATCATTTCTGCCTGCATTTATCAGCAGCACAATCAGCCTAAAGATGGTAATATAACCATAAAGTAACTGCATACAGGAGTAGCTCACCTGCTGTTAGCAGATAGGTCTGGTTATCCCTTAAGCTGCCAGAAAGCAGAGGTCCAAACCATGATGCTTATCTGTAATTGTTATAACTTGCTATTTTTCTCTTGCTGTTTCTCCTCCTGATCATAGCCTTTTGGAGAGAGAAAAGGGAGAGGAAGTGTGGGGCTGTGCTCCATTTATCAACTGCTTTCAATTTGTATCAGAATAAACAAAAATGAAGCATTCTTTGTATTTCTGGTACTTATTTCTGCATGAACTGAATCAGAAATAGCAAATGAATGGAAAAGGTGTTAGAGTATAATTTTTGCTGTGAAATGCTGCTTATAAAAGATAAACACCATACACATTGAAAATGTCCTAGTATTGTGCTGAAGTTGGCAATGTAGTATTTAATACCTGTAGAATTCAAGTAGTTCAAAATTCTTTATTTAATCTGTTAGTTTAAACATGCAGTTTTCCAAGAAAAGGCTTTTCATTCTTTTGGGAAAAAGAATGTGGTAATCAGCTAACTTCCAAATGAGGTGTCCATCACCACAAGAAAATAGGGATAGATGTCCATGTCAGATGCTTCAAATATACTAATTCATATGTCTGATCTATGCCATTTCCACACTTCTGATTTTATACAAAAGTTCAAGATATATTTAACAACGGCGCCATCTATACAAAATCTATACAAAAGTTCAAGATATATTTAAAATAGTAAGTTATTTTCAGATAAGATATCAGTTTCTAAACATAAAAATTGGTTCTTTGCGCTAAGAACTGCACTGGAACATTTGGAGAAGCATTGCAATGTTAATGATAACTGCTTTCCAATCTATAGACTAGATACGATTCAGGTCAACTCATTTGAAAAAATAGACTGAACAAATATTGACCATCCCTACTGCAAAAACGCTTCACAATATAGAAAACAAGCAAACTATTTGTCCTAGTATACAAAAGGTAATTGAATTTGTTTTGCACAACAGTTCTTAAGTAAAAAGGGTGGAAAACTTGTGGCCATGTTAGACTACAACTCCCATAAATTCTAATAATTAACCATATTTGTGGATTAGTTGAATCCCACATCATCTGAAGTTACTGGCTCCCCACTGCTGAGCTAGAAAGAAACTTGGCAACATTTCATTTGAACTGGTGCACTCAGCCACCATGATTAAATAAAAATCCAGGGTAGAAAAGGTAAGACCACTTCATTTAAAAACAGAAAAGAGCACAAAAGTTAACAAATAATGCAAGCTAAACTAAATATAAAGGAATATGAAGAATATATTGCTAAAAATACAAACAAGAAATTTCTTTAAATGTGCTATACATATGAAACCAAATAGGATGTAGAATCAAAAGTTGTTGAATTCTGGAAGGAATATGGGGAAAGTGCAGATAAGCTCATTCTTTGCATCATTCTTTATTTTGGGGTTTAATGTAGAAACACAAACACAGATTTTTAAGGAACACTCTAAATTGCTGGTCAACATTTAAGAACTAAATAAAGGTGGGGGGATCAAAAAATACAACAGTATTTGCAAGACATATACCCAAGAGTTCCTTAAGAACTCAAATGTGCATTTAGTTAAAAATGGAACGTTATAATCAGATGGTCTTCATAACAAGTTTAAAAAATAAAGGAGGCTGTGTTCAGACAGTATCCTCAGCTTTATGAGCCAAAACTTCTCAAGATTTGTCTGTACACACAGCCATTTCATATAAGCTAGGAAGCCTTCCATTGCTAGTTTCTCATTTTATCTTAACCATTTCATTTTAACTGTGATTCATGTTCTCAAGCCAGGACAGTAAACCATCCTCAAACCATAGTTTAATATCCTGGTTTCTTGCTATTAACTATAGGTTCCCAGTTTGTTCAGACTGTGAAACTATATAATGGAAGATATCCTTGTGTGTTTGCTCACTCACTTGCACAGCTAGCTGAAAACTGCCTGAAGCCAAGATACAAGATACCATCAGAGGGTGGCCATGGTGTGCTTGAAGTGATTCACATTAAGAAATTTGGCTATTCTTAAAAAAAGGATTACAAAACACCAATTAAGGACTATTGTACACATCTCTGAAAGTAGCATCTGCCCCAGTAAAAATTCCTGCAGAAATGCTTCCGAGGGAAGACTAGGCTTTACAGTTCTAAAGTAGCATGCTCAACTGAAGGGATTTCGAGAAACAACAAAGCTAGTGAGTCCCATTTGCTCTGTATAAACCGCTAGATAGAGACATAAATATTGACCAAAAGTGAATAATGCAGATCTTGCTTTGATGAAGTAATTCAAGTAGATAATATAAGCCAGTTCTACTTCCACAATTCTCCTATGGGTGTATACTTAGCCTGTTGCATAGCCTCCTCTGCAAAGGATGTGATTTCGTTGTGTAGATCTTCTATGTTCTTTGAAGCATCAATCATCTGTATCCAAACACAAAAACAGATATACAAAAATTAATTAATTAATGCTTTTCTATCCCGTCCCCTACTGAGCATCTCAGGATGGCTTACAAACATGGGGAAATGAAACATTCTTGCAGCTTGATGTTTATATTAGCTCTCATTTCCATCTACTTCAAAAATATTAACACTGTAGAAAGATTTCCCCACTTTTATACAGTTGCTGAAAAAGAATTTACATCATCACTTAAAACTAGCAACACAAACTTTGCTACCTAACAGTGCAATTCTCTGCATGTTTCTTTAGACATAAATTCCACCATTTAAGCAGGACTCAATCCTTAGCAAATGTATTTAGAATTGTGGCTTGAAAGGACTATTTATTATTACTACACTGCATTTATATCATTTTTATCTTGTGTAAGGTACCAGAGCTTACATAGGTCTCCATTCCATTTTATCCTCACACAACCACCCTATAAGATAAGCTAGGCTGAGAGTCTGCGACTGGTCCAAAGTGACCCTGTCAAGAAAATCAGTGATGGCCCCTCATACATGTTCCTTGAATACTTCAGAGGGGCTGTCAAAACAGTGATCACAAAAACAGAATGATTGGGGAAGCTGTGGTGAGCTAAAACAGCCTCTAATCATGGGGAGGGGAATAACAAGCCAGTGACAGTCACCTGACCATGCTGCTTAAGCACTGCTGAGGCATTTATTTATTTATTTTAAACATTTCTATGCCGCCCCATTCGCCGAAGCATCGGGGCGGCTCACAACATAAAATACAAATATACAACGAATTAACAATATAAAATAAGTCGCCCTGGCCAGATAAAATAATATTAACAATTAAAATGACGTTTAAATAAAAAGGTCTTTGCCTGGCGCCGAAAAACAAATAACGACGGCGCCAGGCGGACCTCTCTGGGGAGCGCATTCCATAGATTGGGCGCCACCGCAGAGAAAGCCCTCCTCCGAGTACCTACCCTCCTAATTTCTTTCACAGAGGGTTCCCGGAGAAGGGCCTCTCCCGCAGATCTCAAGGGGCATATATGGATGTAAGCGCTCCTTCAGGTAACCAGGACCCAAGCATTGAACGTGTCTCAGGTGAGCTCAGCAAGAGCAGGGGGGTTTTGCAGCTCTTGCCAAGTGACTTGCTTGCTGTTGCCCAAAATCCACAGCCATGGTTTTCCAGGCTCTAATGACACATCAACACACCATGGAAGAAACAACAATCATTTCTACATATTGTGGGTTCTCAGACCTGCTTGTTTGAGGGAAAAAAGCTACCCTCAGAAAAGCAGCATCCATTTTGAAAACACAAGAACCCACCTATCATGGGTTGTTGCATTGTGCAAACCAGATCATTAAGTCAAACTAATTTTCTAATACCTTTAGATGAATCTGTGAATATGTTTATCATACTTTAGAAGCAAATTTCCAAAATACAGAGATGCAAAACAAGGTGGAGCTCCATCTGCTGCTATACTAAAACTGTTAATACAATTATTTATGCAAGAAAATACAGCATTGTGGCAGGTGAAAGTGGCTCACTCAGTACTTAACTCTTTAAATCCAGAGAACCAAGGACTAAAACCAATACTGCACTATTGCAGCTGTTCGTTTACCCTCTCTTTTTATAGCATTAACTTTTCCTTTTCCCTTCTTTCCTAACATTGTGTCAGAAGAGAGAAACTATATCCATAGGTACCACAACACAGTATAGCTTTATACTGCTATGAGTTCAATTCTGTGGCCTGAGCACTGAATAACCATGGCTACAAAGTCTTTCAGCTGCCATAGCAGAGAGCTACAAAGCAGGAGAAAGAAGATCTAGGCCACAGGCAACAAATCGCTGAACACGAGAGAACCACCAACAAGCCTGAGTTTCATTTATTCTCCTGGACTTAATTTCAAGCAACTGTATCACATATTCAAGTATTGCATCTTCCCTATCTGTCCTATGATGCCCAAGTATACTTCTTTCTATCTGATTTACACTCCCTTGGAAATTTGGAAAGCAAAAGGTAATTCCAATTTTTTCATCAATAAATTTCATAAATATCCAAATCTAGAAGTGTTTTGATTATGGAATTTATAGGTCAAAAATCAAACTATGCTTCACTTGAAGTTTCCTTTCTTACCTTCCAATTTAAAGTCTTATCTTCCATCAGACGGTGAAAGCATTGTAAAACTTTCTCTTGAAAAAGGCAATTCTCGTATCGTTCATTTCCAAAGTCTCCACGTTTGGCTGCTTCAGAGGTGCTTAGCTGAAGGAAAAGGATCAAGTCTGGTTTTGGAAGCCCCACATCCGGCTGCTTGCACCACTCCAAGGAGAAGTTCTGTCGAGAAAGAAATGACAGACACAATCAATGGGTAAAGCAAGCCAAGGAACAATTTGAAAGGAACTTGGAAAGCCAGATCATAGGTTCATCTGGCTCAGTATTGTTTACACTGATAGGCAGCGGCTATCCAGTGCTTCAGTTTTCCTATCCTATTCTACACTGAGATACAAGCAATTGAACCTGGAGCTTTTGTACATGAAGCACAGAGATCTGACTCTGGTGTTTTGGTTCCTGTATACTTATTTATTTATTAAAACATTTCTATGCCGCCCCTTGCTGAAGCCTCGGGGCGGCTCACAACACAAAATACTTACAAAGCATCCTGCTACATTCAAGGATAGGATAATACAATCAGTCTTTACAAGCTGAATCTCGTTCTCAGCCTAAGTGATACAACATAAAATTAGCTTGCTTCCAATCAATTGGTTCACACAGTGACTGAATAATGGCCATAAACCACAAAAACCTTACATTAAAACGTGCAAAATTATCACACTGTCACAATTCAAGGTTGCATCACTATGCCCATGCAAACAGAAAGAAATTAGTAGCCGTGTTCATCAAACCTCTCATAATGCAATGTGTATCCAATGTTTTCTGCTTTTTCACTGGATTTACCAATATCAAGTAAACTGACTGCTATACACTTTTTCTTATGTGAGATTTTAAGACAATACTTCTATGCTAGAGGTGCTCAGCCTTCCAAAAATAAGATGCTATGCTACTATATATCAGTTAGTGACTTAGAATCATAGAATAGTAGAGTTGGAAGGCTATGAAGGCCATTAGGTCCAAGCCCTTGCTGTTGCAGGACACCAAGTTACACCATCCCACTCAGATGGCTGTCCAGTTTCTTTTTCAATGTCTCTAGTGTGGGAGAGCCCACCACCTCTTAAGGCAGCTGGTTCCACTGTCATATAGCTCTGACAGTGAGGAAGCTTGACCCCTTCATATTTGTTTTATTTAGGTTTCCTTTCTGCTGCATCCCAAGACCTCTAATATTTTCTTCTTACTTTACATTCCCACCTATTAAGGATGCAATCCACACTTGCTTACTTATTCAATTTCTATTCCGTTTTCTTATGAACTCAAAGGAGCTTACACCATTCTCCTCCTCCTGCTCGTAACCTTATCCCCACATCAACCCTGTGCAATAGGATGGGCTGAGAGTCTGTGACTGGCCCAAAGTCACCCAGTTGCCTCTATGGCCAGGTTGCCCGAGTCCCAGTCTACTGTTCTTAACCACTATACCACACTGGCTTACATTTACCTGAGAGTAAGTCTAGCTAACACAATGGGTGGGAACCTAATTGGAACTTAAGCTGTACTCCAATAAATGTGACAAATTGTGAAATAAATTCAATTATTTCCATGGGAACTAGGAACAACTAACTATCTGGATCCAATGCAATGAGACTTACTTCTGGGAACACAGGCCCAAGACTGGGTTCAACCTGATTCTGATTACTCAAACAGCAATTTACCCAATGCCATCCAGTGAGCTTCTTGGACTAACAAAAATTGCAATTGTCTCATGTGATAATTTCCCCAGTGAGTTGATTCAGTTCACGTTAATGTTTAGTCTGGCGGTGCTTCCATAAATTCATACTAGACTAATGCCATTTTTACCTACCTCTTTAGCACTTGTGAAGGCTACCCCAGAAAAGGCATATCTGTCTACTATCAAAGTGATACCCTGGTTTAACTTCTCCTTAATCGATGGCCTGAAAATAAAGAGACACATATCACTATTAGATGACAGTTAAAAAGTCAACAGTCTGGAACAAAGTAATGTGAGATAGAAGATATTCCAGTATTTTTTTCTGCAGAAAATGTTCCATTAAAAATATGCATTCTTTCATTGTAGCATGTGATCTACTATACACAATTTACTTTCCTGACCATCTCTGTGATGCACAAATAATCATGCATACTTCTTTAAATATGCTAAAATGTCCTTGCAAACAGTTTTCGGTGTCTTAAATTTGTTCCTCAAAGTTTAGAGTTAGTATATACTATAATTTTGAGGAAAGTATATACTATTTATGTCTTCTCTAAAAATATTTAAAAATTCTATGTAAAGCTTTGAATTTGAATATAAATTTAAATCACATTGGCAACACAATTGCAGCCTACATGTAGTTTTTGGTTTTTACTAATTTTTCATCTATTATGGCTATTCAGCAAAAAGCTGGTATTTGTACAGCATGTAAAATTAACTGTTTTCCTTTTAAAGTTTTGCTTAAATCAAAAATTCTAAATTCTATATGGGAGTTCTGCCAAAAGTGTGCTGCTTTACTTAATTTCTTCTATTAGGGTACATTTTGCTCCAGATTTTTTAATGTTCTGTTAGCTTCTGCACAGTAATTTTTTACTTTATTATTAAAGAAAAAAAAGAAACAGAAACATACATTTAACATTACCTGTATTCCTTTCCCCTCCCACCATTAGATTGAGTTACATAAAGTCCCCAGTCCTCCAGGATGCATGTTGGTTATACAGAAACTGTTACAACCACCATAATTTATAACTTGCTCATCCTTTCATATTTATGTTAGTATATTCAATAAATGATAAGGAAACAGTCTTAAAAGAATCAAACACATGTTAACTTCTCATAACCTGTAACTTGTATGACAATTTTCCATTACTGCTGTCTTCCATACCAAATTATACCATTAATTAAAATCTGTAAATTTAAAATCTTTCCACTCTGACACTATTATTTTTCTAGCAGCAAATAAAAGATGTGAAATTAGCTCCTTATATTTCATATTTATATTCTTTTTGAAAAAAAATTCAATATAGCCAATTCAGAGTCAATAGCTATTTCTACTTTTACAAGTAATCTCAGTGAAAACTACAGTCCAGAATTTACGAATCTCATCACATTTCCATCACATGTGCCAACTCCCTGACATCCCCTCCAGCACAGAGAGGAGGACTAAGACTTAATAAATGCCAATTTTCTAGGAGTCCAATACCAAACATGCATTATCTTCAGAGATGCTTCTCTGGTATTAGCAGAAACAGATATATATTGTGGTTTCCCCCAGATGCTCATCCAAGCTGCATCAATAAAAGTACATAGGTTTAACTACCACCATTGCTTCAGACTTCTACATTTGCTCTCATCTGAATCCAGAACTAACTTATATACAGCTGACACCATCCCTTTAATGCTGGAGACCCTATCATTATCAATTTCTCAGAACGAGTTAAGCTCTAAACTACAGTGGTACCTCAGCTCATGAACGCCTCAGTTCACAACCAAATCGGGCCGCAAACAGAAATTTCATAAAAATTTCGCTGCAGGTCACCAACTCTGCATTGGGTGACAATCACGAGCATGCCTGCCTTCCCTGCACAGGAGTGATTGCAGTCGTGCTGGGGAGTGAGGCATGGCTGCGGCTGCGCACGTGTTCCCTGCCCAAATGCGCCCGTCTCCCCCACCCACTGCATGATCGCTGGGGGGAGGGGGTGGGGAGATGGCCGCAATCTTTGTTGTTGTCACTTTGCTTCACATTGTTTAAGGTAAAAAAAAAAAAAAATAGTCACAGAACAGATTAACCTTATTTACATTGACCCTTATGGGGAAATTTGACTTGGCTCATGACCAATTTGAGTCACGACCAGAGTCCTGGAATGGATTAGGTTTGTGAGCAAAGGTACCACTGTACTTGGTCTACACCCTTGCTAGAAAGTTAAAGATGTGGTCAATATTCCATGAGTCATGTGTGTCAGAATTTACTACTTCTTGTCTGATTTCTGAAAATAAGAGTGGAATCTTATTTTCATAAAAATCTTTAAAGTCTGTACAATCTCCTCTCCATCCTTTGAAATCACATGTATCTTTTTTAAAAATTAACATGCCTGAATCTTAACTGCAAACACACAGTGCTATTACTGTTATCTTCTCTTCAACAACCTTTACTAATTGGATAAAACTACAGTTATTTTATTCCCACCTCCTTTGGGAAATGACTATACTCCATAACTGAAGTCTTTGCATTCATAATGCCCCCAAACCAAAAAGCCATAATTAAACTGGTGCTAACAGGAGTTCAAAAGTTTTAGAGTACACAGATGAGTTTTGAGAAGATGAGAAGAACATAGCTGAGTAACTACAATTTGATGTCTAGGTGAATTGAAGCAGATCGGCAAAGATCTGCTCAAATCCTTCTGCATTTTGTTTAATATGCAGCAACAAAATGAATCCTTTCCTGGTTTATATTTCTGAAATGAGGGAATGTTTCAGTTTTAGAGCATGTCAATTTATGCATCTGGTTCAATTGATGGATTGGGGTTCTAGTAATAAAGTAGCAAGTCTGAAGCTGGCAACTTTTAAATTTGGCATGAATTTACACTTGTTCCCAGCGATTAGCAGAAAACAGCAGATGTATTGTATGATCTTCCAAATTGTTTTTCTTTTCCAAGTAGGAACTTATCAGACGTCCAATTTCTGTTGTTCTTTCTGCAAAGAGTAGAAAAGAATACACTGAAACAAACACCTTCAATTTCCATAAATCTAATCCACTCTTCAAAACACATCACATTTGGAAGCACTAGTTAATATATAACACTTGGGAAAATTTGCTGAAGACAGAATGTCTTCCCATTCAGAGAGAAGTTGAACTGCTCATTTAGTCTGGCATGTTGCCAATTCACCAACGTACAACTACTATGTTCTGTGTGCGTTCTGTGAAAAATAGTGTTTCTATCACTATTTAGCACTGTACTCCTTGCTGCATGATAGGGATTGTTTAATACATTTGTCACTCTCTTCCTCCTCCACATCATGATGTATCCTGGTGAAGGCACAGAGTAAGGCCAGAATAGAGTTTCAGTTTATTCCCTGGTTAGATGTCCACCCCTGCAAAGTAAATCTGCAACTGAAGCAGATGTAGCATTGCATTTGATTTTTTTTTAAAGCACTCATCAATAAATTCTATTACTGGCAATTTTACAAAATGGTTTCAACCAAACTCCAAAGAGCAAGGATAAAAACATATTCTGCACACAACACACCATTTGAGGCTAAATTTTCTAAAGGTTCAAATGTTTAGACTTCAAACCAATAAAAGCCAAGGGTACTTTTGAGTAAGGCCAATGACGCTATACAAAGCTATAACAATGCAGGTGCAATACTTTGCACTATAAAAGACCACCATCAAAAGCACCAGCGTTACTAGTTACTCCCTCCATCAACAGCAGTTAGAACGTGGAAATTAAACAAGCAGTATGTGCCTCTCTGTACCAGGAGCAGCCGCGCTTGTTGAATTTCGACCTGCCACACTCCTCCTAAAACTACAGACGTCTTCCTGAAGTGGGAGAGGGGAAGATAATATCCTAATTCTAGGGCAATACAGCAAAAGCCCCCCTGTATTCTGCAACAACCCCAGGCAATGCATACCAGGAAACCTAAGCAATTCAGCTCGAACTCCCCTTCTCCACAGGGCCTCGACCAGCTTTCGGCTCTGTGTGCTTTTACCAGCGCGGTCTACCCCCTCCAGCACAATTAATGCCCCTCGTCTGCCTGCCATGACGGGCTGTTCTAGGCCGTATCCAGGACGAAGAACCAGTTTCCCGCGCTTGGCACAGTCATAGAAAGGTCTTCCGGAGTATAGAGCGGCGCTTCTGTGACAAGGGTGACCAATAGACGGTAAAGAAGGAGAGCGCCTGGAGGTTCTGGCTCTCCCATGTGCGTGTTTCTTAAAGTATAACAAGCCTACGGCGTCTTCCTCTCACGAGATCAACGAATGACACGGAGCAAAAAGGAATAAGCCAAACTTTTCTTTACAAGTAAGAAAACAGGAACCGGAAAAATAGATCAAACCGTAACACAGCGCCCTCGCAAAACCTACTCGCTCAAGCTCCCCGCCTTAGTCTAGGGCGGAAGTGGCCGCCGCTTTCTCTCTAGGCGGTTTGTTCCCACTCTTTGATATTAACCCTTAATTGCACTTGCATCTAGGCTGTAGAACTCCTAAGCCTTGATTTCAGAGTGATTTACTTCATACTAGTAAGAGCTCTTGGGCTGCAGCTTCCATAAAACGGTGTAAGACGATCGCTGTGTCGAAGGCGACATAGGGGAGTCGTTGTTGTCTATTCTCGGTAGCTATTTTAGTGTATTGCAGCAAAAACAACAAAGAGTCCTGTGGCACCTGAAAGACTAACAAATATAACTGCCATAACCTTTCGTGTAACATATTGTCCATTTCATTCGTCTGATGAAGCGGAACATCTAGTCCACGGATCCTTGGACCAGAATATATTAGCCTTTCACGTGCCACAAGGCTCTTTGTTTTTGCTGCCCGAATCTGTGTTTTGCTGCTTTCTGAAAGCCAGAACTAATCGTACGTACGTTTTGGAAAGAGCTGTGAGAAGTAGTTCAGGCACTCATTCACCTACATCAGGCAGGATGCCAGCGTAATTCTGAAACTGGATTATTTTTAATTCTGGATGTAAAATACTGGAGGGTTTTGCTTAACGCATGGATATAATCCTTTAATCGTTGGGGACACGAGTAAGCTTCGTGGAATTCGATGGGACTTACTGCCGACTCGGTAGGGTACTTTGTTTTCTCGGTATGTCACCGGAAGAACTTAAAAAGATAATATCCCCACATGTGGTCGATGCACTTTTGCATACATTTCCACCCAGTTCGCATGGGAACAAAAACTGCTCGCAATTTACTTTCTCATTTTCACTACTCTATAGGGTCATATAAGAGTAAGAGAAGCGCCTGGAATTGGGAATAGAACGAGGTGGGAGGCGGGGGAAGGACAATGTATATGGACTGATCTGACATCCGATTACTACGCTCCTTTTCAAGTTGACAGGCAAGTAGCAGAAAATGGGAGCAATTAGAGGAGATCCAGGTGACGAAGTGAGAACCAGATCCATAACAGACGCAATCATTTCCTTCGTTGCATCTTTCCATTTGAAAATATAATCCTCCAGGAAAGTCCGTGAGACGCGTTTTCCCTTGCAAACGTCTCTTTGGCCCGAAGCCGCTCTTCTTCATTTGAAAGGAAGACCGACTGACATCTGCGGGGTTTCATCCAAACAGTCGCGCCCAAGGATGCGCCGCACAAAATGTGTGTGCACGAGAAAGCACAACGCTGGGCCCCACGAGAGCAAAGAGTTTGATGCAGCCCGGCAGGGACGCTCCTCTGACCACACGCGTTTTAAGACGCTCCTTAGGATGCCGCTGCCATTCCCATGCGCCGCGCCGCGCCGCCCCCTCGTTCATAGGCTGCGGAGGCTGCGTCTGCTGGGCCAATTGGTGGCGCCATCTCATGATTATGCAATAAGGGCTCGACCGGCCATTGCGAAGCCGCCCGGGTGACAGCGCCGAGCGCGAGACCGAAGGGAGGGCGTTGGCTGGCGTGAGATGGCGGCGGCGGCCTTGTACCTGGAGCACTACCTGGACAGTGAGTGAGTGCGGCGGTGGCCGCGGGGTGGGAGCGCAGCAGGCCAGGGCCGCTCGGGCCACGCCGGAGCAGACGGGGGCCACGCCAGCAATTGCGTCTGCGTCATAGACCCGGGCGGGGATCGCAGCAGGCGGGGGGAATTGTTGCTGCGTCATTGCTGCGCGTAAGCAGAGGTCTCCGCGCCGGCGAGGCAGGCTGCAGTTGCTGCCCTTGACCGCCAGGGGCTGCTGCCATTTTACCCTCGTTCGTGCCCCCGGGAAGGAAGCCTGCGCATCCCTCTTCCGACTTGTCATGTGATGCGCTCACCGGGATTTGCGCCACCTGTCCGAGCATCCACGTGGCCGGTAGAATTCTAGCCGGTCACTCGCCGTGTTTCTGATTTGTCAAGGCAGTTGCTTAAAGACAAATCCTTGTCAAGTCTCCAGACTGGCCATCTTAAATATTCTCCCGTGCTAGGCTCCATGGGTTAGTAGTACTTTGCTAGTAGTAGTAACCCGTTGGGCTGTAGCACCAGATACTTATTTAGTGATAGAATGAGTACTACGAATCAACTGACAGCACTTTCAGCTAAGAAATGACCCAGCCTGTTGATTTTCCATATTACTTTTCTTGGGACTAACCAGAGTGGTTGTAAAAGTCACAGTTAAAAAAACAAAAACAAAGCCATAACAACCTAGAAGCCATCCTCTTGCCTTCTGGAATATTAAAGACAGCTTGACCTCAAAGGTTCATGCTAGCAATATGGCATTGTTACATCGAAAAACAATTTTAATGATCCCTATTTAACATATTGAATAAAAGGAGATCGAGAAAATTTTGCTATCTTCCATGTAGGCGTATTCAGTTAACTTTGACATCTCTGCCAATTTCCATGTTTTCGTTTAAGACTATCATAACACTGATGTTTATGTTCTCATCATTTATGTGCAATCAAGATTCTTTTCCTGGCCAGTATATGTAATGCAGGTTCTTGATTACCCTGTGGCACACCCTCTCAGGTATCCCATCAATATCAGCAAAGGACTGAAACAGAAAGAAAACCATATATTAAAAATATTGTCTAAGAGAACATTTTCCAAATTTCAGCAAATAAGTTCCTTGCAACTGCATCTTAAACAGTAAGTTGCCAGTGGCATGAGTATCTGTGATAGAAGCTGGATAACAAAATTCTTATTAGTATGTACTTCTTCTGTTACCAGTAATAGGAAAAGAAAGCAGGAGAGGGTCTCTATGTCCACCTGAATATTCAGAGATTCTCATCAGAGAAGATACCTCTTAGGATCCATCAATATTTATTTTCCAGGCTCTGGCACTAGATCAGCCAGCGCAGTGTGCCATTTAACAGGGAAAAGTTAAGAAACGTTGTGCAATAGCAGAAAGAATCATGGTAGCCAACATGGTTTTGAGGTTTTGTGGTTTTTTGATCTGGGAGTAAATCTTTTGTATTAAAAGGCTCACAGAAGGACCTGCAGTTTTTCTTTTTTATATTTTAGGCATTGAAAACCTCCCCTGTGAGTTACAGAGGAACTTCCAGCTAATGCGTGAGCTGGATCAGAGAACGGAAGGTATGTTCAGGGATTCTGGTTCACAAGTCCTCCTGATTAAGTTGTAAATCACATTGGGGTGGTTTTGGGGGCTGAAAAGTATCTTTAAAATACCTTTATACATAGCAAGATTGTATCTGCACATGTCTGAGATTATAGGTACATAGCCCAGTTCTCATGGTGTTTCCCCCAGTAAGGGTGCAATTGTATGCATGCTTAGAATAAAACAAACCTTCACACTTTCCAGTTAAGAGAACTATAGGATTTTTCTTTCTAAACAAGCATAGGGTTATGCCTAAAGCAGCTCAAAATAGTTTTCTCAGCTCCAAATGGCTAGATTTTATTTATTTAATTATTAGATTGATATCTTACTTTTTTGTTGTTTTTAAATAACTCAAAGCAGCTTGTATCATTCTCTTCCTCGTGATCTCAATTTTATCTCCACAACAACAATCATGTGAGATAGGTTGGGCTGAGAGTCTGTGACTGGCCCAAGATCACGCAGTCAGACAATCTGGGTTCTAGTCCCTGCTCAGCTATGAAGCAAAGTCCCAGTCCTAGGCGCTTAACCATTATACCTGTAACTTTATTACAGTGCACCAGGGTTGAGCAAAGGGGGTAGGAATAGAAGCTTTTTGTGAATGTGCTTTACCTCTGACAAAGTTTCTTAAGAACAGAATTCCTTGACAGTGTATTTACTATCTGAGTCTGACAAAGGCAATTTAAGGACTCCAAATGTGGACTGACAGGACTTCCAAACTAATAATGGGTACTACATTTATTATGGTTCACACTTTCTCCCACTGGGGAGAGAATACAGAGCAGGTATCATTTGGTCCCCTGCAGGTGCACTGGGGAATATGGTCCCCCTGGCATGTTTGCCAGGAATCAGCATCACTGTGCATGCATCTTGCCTGATCAGAGAAGACCAGTGCACACTAGGGCACTTCACTTGCCCTGTACCTTCTCTCATTGAGGAAAGTAAGCAAGGCAGGCCAAGCGCCACTCTCCCATTCCCTTGTTATCTCTGATTTGTGATCAGGGATAGTGTGGATTTCCCTTTGTGCTGCTTGCTCTTCATTGAGAAAGGGGAGTGGTATACAGGAAAATTTCCTTGTATATGATCACAGATCGAATATCCTTTTTCTGCCTCTTCAGATCCTCTTTCTGCCTCTTCACAAAGTTCCTGATTGCCTGCAGAGGGAGGCAAAACCTCTGCGGGCCGAATGGACAACCTCCATGGACTAGAGATTGCCCTCCTCTGAACTATTGACTAGCATAAACTGTAGCACTGGAAGTGGTCTGCTATCTTGGGTTTCAGTCTTACGTATGTGCATGTGCAGTAAATCTATCTGAATATTTAGGTGCAGTCTAAGTAAATATGTTTACTTACTTACTAAATATGTTTACTGTTTAACGTAGTGGTTTCAATCTGTCATTGGATTTTTGAGCATAGGAGGAACTTGAAGTTCCAGGAAGAGGATGGAAAGCAGAGGCTGCACTGAGATACTATAATAAACAATTTATTGGGCACCTTAGGCTCCCACCACCTTGCATCCTCCCCCAGTTTAGCCACAAGGAGATCAGAAACATTCACTTTCATATTTGATTAATGTAGTATTACATCTGTACCCTAATCTATAGTTAACCTCAAAGATTGAAATATTAGTTGAAATAAGCTATCTTAATAAACTAAAGTCTCACGTTGACTTTTTCAAAGAAACCATAATTAAGATTCAGATTGGATTAAATGATAGTCTGTGCTTAAGTAAATGCCAAAAGAAAAGCTTCTGATCTCCTTATGGCTCTGCCAGAGAAGCAAGAGGGGGATGCAGGAAAGCCTGAGACTTGTTTCCATAAGGATAAACCATTTTATTGTGACAATTGAATGCAACCGGAGTCAGAAATGCTCTCTTTCCAGGAGCAATGGTTTAGTGTTGCTGGCTGGTTCTAGGAGGGAATCCAAGATTTCCTGTTCTATTTCTGTTCCAATGCCAGTGTTGGATTAGTGCCCTAAGCCACACATCCTGATGTCCAAAGTAGCAAACCACAGCCATGCAATTGTGTAAGGATTTTCTACACTGTTAAAGAAATAGCTGCCATCAGTTAGGGAACTTGGTAGAATAAGCTTAGAAAGCATGCAAGTCTCAGCAACTGCTATCTTAAAGGATTGTTGTTGTTTTTTTAATGCATTCTGCGCCACTAAAGCAGTGTGGTCTGTCTGTACTCGGAAGCTTAGCTACGGAATGTATTTGGCACACATATTTTGGATTAGTTGCATTTAAAGAATGTGAGAAGGAGGGATTCCTCTGTCATGATTTTTGAAAAGATTTTCAACTGTGAAAGAGCAGATTGAGCCTAAACATGGTTACTTGGAAAGAATCCCATAGAGCATAATAGAACTTATTCTGTAATAACTTTGCTCAGGATTGCAGTTTCACAGTACAATCCTATATATATCTTCTCAAAAGTAAGTCTCACTGCATTCAGTTAAGCTGACAGCAAGTGAGTTTTGCTCATAGTCACAAGCTCATACATATCCTGTATCCCATTATCCTTCAGACAAGAAAGCAGAAATTGACAGTCTTGCTGCCCAGTACATTTCAACAGTGAGGAGTCTGTCATCAGAGCAGCGGGTTGAAATCCTGCAGAAGATCCAGAATGCTTATGCAAAATGCAAAGAGTACAGCGATGACAAAGTGCAGCTTGCTATGCAGACCTATGAGATGGTAAGATCAAATACACAGCAGATTGACTAACCCACCTCTGTTTTCCTGACTTCTCTCTTATTTACTCTTGTAACTTGTGTCCCAGGTAGTCTAGTAGTTGCTGACTGACCAAGTGATGGAGGTTCTATGATCTCAAGTTCAGTTACAGTCCTGTCCTGGACTAGGGTTGTGTATATGCAAAGTTATTTTTCCCTGGTTAATATTTGCAGTCTAGGAGCAGTAGGACAAAAAAGAGAAGTTTAGAGTGCTGCATACTGGCAAGCTACTGGATTTGTCAGCAGTGCATTTATCAAAATCCTCTCTGGCTAATTTTCCAAAACATTTACTGGAACATTACACTGGGGCATAAGTTAAATGTTTTGTGACAGCACAGGATCTCCATGTTGAGATTCTATGCTATGAGAATTGCATTCTGGAGAACTAATACAGCTAGAGTCATGCCAGCCGATTCATGATCAAGGTATGATATGTTCTAGGACCTAGCACATTTTATTCATTGCTATTCAAGCAGACGATCAGGATTTCAAATTGAAAAATGATTGCTCTGGGTTAAAAGGAGTCCATAGTGCTGACAGTGGCCCCAAGCCCTTGAAGAACAATAGCACCTGGAGGGAAGTTAACTCTCTAATACCTTCCTCAAATGGTCTGCAATTAGTGTATCTGGAAATAGGAATGAGCTCCTAAGCTAGCCAGCAGCCAAGGCTAATATGCTTATTAACCATAGACCAACAGTTGAAGCAAGTGATTCCATGTATTGGGGGGACCGCTAGAAGAAAAGGAGTTTTAATGAGTTGTACTACCCAGGAATCCACTCAGCTTTATATCCAACAACTGCTAGAGATGCTAATAGAGGGTTTTATTTTCTTCACCTATATGGCTTCTCTATAACGTAGGTAGATAAGCACATTCGACGGCTGGATGCTGACCTGGCACGATTTGAAGCTGATCTGAAGGATAAGCTGGAATGTAGTGACTTTGAAAATCCTGTGGTACCAAACCTAAAAAGTGCGTACATTAGGACCTCTCACTGTGAGGAAGATGTTTATTTATTATTTATTTAAAACATGTCTATGCTGCCCCCATCGCAACAAAGCCTCGGGGCGGCTCACAACAAAACCGTGTGAAATGTCTTACTTTAAAATAATATAATCTTTTGATCTATATATTCTGCCTTTCCTTCTCAGTGTAACTTTTTCTCATGCATCAGAAGAGTGTGCTATAAAAAGCGATGGAGGAGGGAAAGAGAAATAGTGAGCAGGAGTGAAATAAGCCTTAGTTTTTATTGCATACAGCTTCTGTGACGTTGGCATAAAGCAGGCAGGGATGTTACAGTGTTAGCATAAGAAGAGCCCTATTGGACTAAACCAAACATCCACTTATCTAGCTTTCTGTCTCCCATAGGGGCCAGCAAGATGCCTGCAGGGCATAAAGTCAATGACACCTCCCCTCTTCCTAGCAATTGGCATTCAGTGGCACACTGTTTCCTATCATCAAGGTGCTATATAGCTATTGTGATCAGTAACCACTGATAGGCATCTTCCTTCAACTTGCCTAATACCTGGTTAAAACCATCAGAGCTAGTGGCCATCTCCAAATCCTGTGGCAGGGTATTCCCTCAGGACAGTAATAAAGGTATTATTGATTTATATGTTAAATAATACTGGACGGGAAAAACTAGATAAAAGCAGTGTAAAACTGACATGCTCTGTTGTTCATGCTGCCCATAACCTCCAGTTTGGAGTGTGTCTTCTACCTAATAATTGAAATGAACTTTCTAGCTGTAATTACTCACCTTTAGGCAACAAAACTAATGGTGATCCTTTGTCCACCTATTTGGGAGTCTCACTGAACTCAACCACTATTTATGCTATATAGCAGGACCCCCATAACCGCTGGTTCAGTTACTGCATTTTCTTTTTTAAAAATATTTACTTTCTTTTAAGTACAACCAAAATAAAAGATTAGAACTGAAATAGAAACATATGAAAATAAACATACCCCACGAGGACCATAGGATACATGTTACAGATATAATATCTCATTCAAACATTTTTTCTGGGAGTAGCTGGGAGTGGTCGAGGAAGGGAAGTTCTGCCATCTTTTTTGCTCTCATGGCATTATGTATGGGTATAGGGGAGATCCATGGCATCCTCTGGGGACTCAGATGCTGGGGACAGTAGAATTGCTCTCTAAAAGTAACTTTCTTTCAGAGGGGCGAATTCCAAAGGATAAGAAAAGCTCCCGAGGTCGAGGTCGGCGAACACCTGAAGAAGATGCTCCGATAAAAAAGAAACCAAAACGAAGGTAAGCATCAGGGCCTGCAGTCTATAGGCAGTTTATGCTGAACCTGCCTTGTAGTAGTTGTCAAAACTTACTTGGAGCCTGTAGAAATGTTCTTCAGCATTCATTGTTTGTAGGATGCAGTCAAAGAGCCTTTACAGAAATCATCAGTGGAAATGCTGTATCAATTTTAAAAACACTACTTAAAGCTAATAGTTCTTTTGTGGCCTCACCCAGAAGTGCAATTTTAATTACCAGAATTGTTCTCCAAATGCATTGTACCTTTTGTTGTGTCACTTTCCCTACTTTCTCCTAGCCACAGTGGGTTTTTATGGGGTTTTTTTTAGGTGACAGAGTTTCTTTCACCTTTTAAAAAACATTACTTATACTGGGGATACTTTTTGTATTGATGATTCCTCTTGATTATTCTCAAGATGGTGATATCCAATGAGTTCCTGATAAATTGCACCCAGTGCCAGGATTTTATTGTTATTATAATTTTAATAGTCTCCTGAGCAGTCTTAGGACACTTTATCCACAGCCGTATGGCAAGTGCACAAAGCTGATTTGATTCTCTAGTCAGCTGGTTACTCAAAGGATCCTGCTAAAATAAATGCTTGTATTTTTTTTCTTATGTGCTTGTTTCTTATCATTTCATCCACATTTAAGCATTCTTTATTGGCACAGTCTCTTGGGAACATCTCCCACTAAGTCCCATTGAAATTAATGCAAGATGTAGAGTCCCACAGCTGTGAATTTAACAGATCATGCTCAGTTCAGGGTGTTGTCATTGTTCAATTTCATATGAACTGAAAAATTATATCAGTATTCCATTCAGTTCTTGAAAGTAGAGGATATCTTAACTGCTTGTGCCTCACTTGGAGAATGCCTTTTTTACCATTTCTTTCTAGAACAGGAGGAGGCAGTCTTATATCTTTGACCTAAAACTGCCATAATCTATGACCATTAGTTATGCTGGCTGAGATTGCTGGAGGTTGTGGTACTAACCATCTGGAGGGTACAAGGTGCCTGGAATATTCCTTGCATTCAGCAGCACATGCTGCCATGCCATCATGAGATTGGTAGCAACCACATAATGGCCACCCATCATGAAAGCAGCTTTGTGGTTTGGTGGTTTGGTTTTGTTTAGAAGACCATGGTGGGGGAAGAGGTTTTAGCCTCTTTGCTAACATTTCATTAAGCCATGGCATTCCCTGTGGTTTGTTGAACTTCTTTGGCTTTTAGACCCTCAAAAAAGCACCCTGTATCTGCTGGATTAAGGGAGTGGGAACTAGGGACCTACAAGAGACCAGCAGGACGGAGGCAGATAACAAGGTTTATGTTCTTTGTTGTCCCTGAATCCACTGCTCATTTTTCAAAGCGTAGGTTGAGAGAGAATAATAATACAGGTATATTTTTCAAATTGAAAATTAGATGAGGTGTGGTATTTGAACAGAAGTAATTAATTCACTGCCTTGTGATTTTATTGATATGAATTTTGCTAGGTCCATTAGCATGTTTAGATGTGCAAATTCAAGAGAAATATGACCTTGTAATATATGAACATGGCTGACAAAAGATGGCATTACAAAATCCAAGTACTGAACCATCCAGAATCACTGGCATGAACTTAGTATTTCTTTGTGTTGCTTCTATTGCAGGTCTGAATTAGCTGATACCATCCTGTCGGTTCATCCTTCAGATGTCTTGGACATGCCAGTAGATCCCAATGAACCCACATATTGCTTGTGCCATCAAGTATCCTATGGAGAAATGATTGGCTGTGACAATCCAGATGTGAGTTATCTCAGTAAACTCAAGGTGTCTTGAGGGCTGTGTGTGCCGGCCCCACTGAAAATTCGATAAAAAGTCCCTCAACTCAGAGGCACAGCATGGAGCATGTAAAGCTGGGAGCTTGAATTGTGCTTTCTCTGTGCTGAGAGGGGTGTGAACCTTCACCCTTCCCAATACACTGAAAGGAAAAATGGGCAGGGGTGGGGGGGTGATGTCAGTGGATGTGGCCCTGCCCACCGATGTCATCTGGCCTGCAGTGGGCCTGTTGCCCTCCTAGCTGCATCATTCCCAGCCCCACTTGGTGGGAATGGTGGGAATGACTATTTACAGGGCAGACAGTTCCCAAGTGTATCCCAGTAGCTTGCAGTGGGATATCTAAAGCAGGCTATTAGGCTGTAAAAATGTGTGGGTTTCTTTGACTTTGTTCTATCTGTCAGGCTTTACTATAGATCCCACCCCAATTAAAGAGGTACCTATTTATGTTCTTTTTTGACTCTTCTGGCCTTCAGATGCCTTATAAGGATATTGTCTCAGGTGCTGTTCTTTCTCTGTCCATCCAGTGCCTCATAAGGGCAGCATTTTTATTCTGCACTGTGGAGAAATAATACTGCACATGTATTTAGAAGAAGTGGAAGGGGTAGTGCTGTAATAGTTATGAAGCCATTAAGATTTGGAGGAATAAAGAAAAGGTGTAAGGCAGATAACTACTTCCAAATGACCACTAGAAATGCCTCCAGATTTTTCCTGTTATTCAAAGGTTTCATAATACATTTGGAAGCATTTTACCTATGTGGTGTGGTGATTAGGGTTTTGGACTAGGGACCTGGGAGATCCAGGTCTTGTTCCCACTTGTCCATGAAGCTCACTGGGTGACTTTGGGTTAATCATTCACTCTCAGCCCTACCTACGTTCACAGAGTATATAAATCACCTTGGGTTCCTTACAAGAGGCAAAAAAAGCAAAATCTAAATGCAATGCAGTAAAAATTTATTGCCAGAAAAGGCTGTTGAACCATAGCTTTTATATATATACAATATATATATATTTATGGGAGCTTTGGGTCTAGTGATTCATTAGATTTCTAGATTCACTAGATTTGTTCTAGTTTCCACACTGTTTTTGCAGTTCATAAAGACATAGAGAATACATATGTCTATTCTGCTAACTACACTGAAGTTATGTCTGCGTTGCCAGCTAACTTGGTTCTTTTCTGCAATCTCGTTTTCTTCTCATAGTGCTTTGTTTTAAGAAGTGAATCATCTGCCTGCAGAATGTGGGCACTTTGCAAAGAAAAAGGGGCTGTTGAGGCTTCATGTTACAGGTGACTGCAATGTAACATGCTGCTTGCCCCTTTCACTATTAAGCACCAGGGACTTATGCACCACCAAACTTCCTGTTGCTTAGAAATCAGATACAAAAAATCAGTATTGTCAAGCTACTATGAAAGTAGTTACCCTCTCATTTTCTCTCCCCAAAATATAGTGTCCCATTGAATGGTTTCATTTTGCTTGTGTGGATCTCACCACCAAACCCAAAGGGAAATGGTAGGTGCCATAACTAATTGCTTTCTATTTTGTTATTTTACTCACAGAATGTCTCAATAGTGTTGGAATTAAATATCTTGTTGCATCCTATGTCTTGAGTACAGATATTTTAAAATTACCGTACTTGTATTTCTTGAGAATTAAACTTAGAACCTAAACCTGCATTTTAAGCAATTCCTGGGAAATAAGTCCCACTGAATGCAATGAGACTTTCTGTTTATCTTTAAGTTAAGGTTAGAGTTTGAAGTACACTTGCCTGAAAATTCTTGAACTTAAAAAAGAAAAGGTATTTAAGATTGAGTTACCACTGTGTTTTTGCAAAAGAATCTTTTAATTGGCAAAAGTTTGCTTCCAAAGCTGAAACAACATAGTGATGTTTTATTCCTGAAGAACATCTATGCTGCATTCTTGTGCAAGATGGCTTTCTTGTTTTACATATAGGTTTTGCCCACAGAAGCACTTCTATCTTTAAAATTCCAGGCATTGGGAAGTTACCTGAAAATAATGATTTTCTTGTATTTCATATTAACAACTATACAGAAATATGTGCTGTTTGGTACGCATGACATGTACCTTTATTGTACCAAACTGTTTTTCTATCACTTGATTTTGCTGCCCTACTTTAAGCCACCTTGTAAAAACAAAGTGTGTTAAATTCCCAGGCATATCTTATTTATTTCAATACTTCTACTGCATTTAGTATATTAAAATCCCTAAGTGATTCACAGTCAAATACAACAGCCAATATAAAATAGCAATTAAAATAGTTGAAAATGTTACGAATGTAACATGTAATGAAAACGTTATAACAGCGTAGTAACAAAGACCTTCACTAATCAAGGAAAGCCCACAAACATAGAGTCCACACGCACAGGTATGTTTTTAAAAACCCTTCGAAATGTGCCATCATTTTTGCTTCATGAGCCACATGTGGGAGAGTGTTCCAGAAGGTGGGTGCCACCACTGTGAAGGCACTTACTCATCACTAGCTGGTGACATTCCATTGACTGCAGAATAACTAATAAGCCTTCCTTAGATCTCAGGTTAGATTAAAGGGTTGGCTGAGTATCCTGGTTTCAAGTTGTTTAGGGCGTTTTATGTCAACAGCAAAGGCCTGAATAATGCACCTTAGTAGCTAATAGGCATCTTAAATGAGACACAGTGGCATTCAAATGAAAGATCCTTTTGGATAACTATTGAAATGCTCTTGGAATACTGTACTGAGCTAAATTGTGTTTTGCTGCCTTTAGGTTTTGTCCTCGCTGCATTCAGGAGAAGAAGAAGAAATAGAAATGGGATTGTATGGTCTGAAAGGAGTTTAATGTATTTGTACATGCTGAAATATTTTAACTTTTTGTCACCAACCTATTTTCTTTAATCGGATATTTAACAGTGGCTAGTTCTAGTTCTCCTTATCACAGAAGGAGTCATCCTAATGAGAAAAGGGGGATATGGAAGAAGTTCACTGGTGATGTTTACCTGGGTTACACTTCCATGGCACTGTAATCAATGTTATGAAGTACTATGAGTAGCCCTGCACTGGAATTTCTGCTCACAAACTAAAGTCTGTGAAATGCCTATGGCCTTGCACGTGAAGATACCATTTTTGTTAGAAAGTGAAGTCATTCTGTTCTGCACAATATTTATGAAGGATTTTAAATTTATCAGCACCTTTCTAAACTCTTATATATGCTGACAAGGAAGGAATTCTATTTTTGAATGTGCAAGACTGCTTGTTTGGAAGCAAGTTGCAAAGCAATTAATGTTTTCTTACAAAATCAGAAGAAAAGTAGCACATATTGTTTTGATAAGGTGTATTCCACAAGTAAATTTCAGGAGTTGTACACCTGTACTCATCGTTTCTGGTTTGTCCACTACTGCCTTTGGCTTTCATCCTGGTCTCACTTTAATCACAGACTCACTCCTGATGTTAAGCAATACATGCTTAATAAAGGCACAAGTTGTTGAGAAGATAAATATAAGATCAGTATAGTCTGATTCATTTATTAAAAAGTTTGGTATATTTTTCATTGGCAAAGCTATTAGTTGTTGAACATTAACATATAAGTAATCCGGAGAACTAACTTTAAGAGGACAATAATTTTAAGAAAGGAATGTTTACTGTGACTGTAATAGCAGCTGAGCAATCTGGTGTAATTTCCTACTCTCTGGATAAAACATCCCTGCTTTTATTTCACTGAGATCCCTTCTAGTAAAACAATGTAACTCTCAAAGCATCTTAGTCTGGAGTCGGTCAATACATTCTGGTTTCTTTTCTTTACAGAAAGTGGAGAATTGCATGATAGAGCCATCAATGTGTGTAAAATGCACACTCGTGTGACTTTCTGATAATACAGGATTAGTGGGCTTTAGTGTTTCAAAAGCCTGCACATTCTTTTACCAGGGATATTAGTAGAACAGAAGAGTGTGTGCACCTTTGGTAATGAAGGCTCTCTGCCATACCACCTCAGCACTTAAACATGATTTGTGTTTTAACCCTAGATTTCTCAGCAAAAGGCTTAAATAAAGAAGGCTGTTCAATCCATACCAATGCCCAGTTTTCTCATTTGTCTAACTGTCCTTGTATTGCCATGTAAAGATTGTAGTTTGCATACAGTGACTTAAACAGTCATGCAAACTAATTGCTGCAGTGTGGAGTTTTAAGAATTTCTTTATACCTCCAAGTTACAGTGATGGGTTATGTGCTAGTTGAACAATTGGTATTGCATAATACCTTCAACATGACAGTGAATCTCACTTTCATTCTAGAAAATACAGGGAAGATTAATCACACGATAAAAGCATACAGTCAGCCTTTCTAACTGTAAGAAAAACTGTGTTACTGAAAGAACTTAGATTGCTTTCTGTTAGGAAAGAATGTAACTTCCTACTGGTTATTTTACATCACACTTCTTTTGCATACGCTTGTTAGGCAATAATGCAATTCAGTGACAGTATTTTTTGTATGATATTAGGTTTTCTGAATCTGCATTTTCTTTTTAGTGTTCATGTGCATATTTGCTTTATCTTTATAAGATTTAAGGAGGTAAATCTTGGAGTTCTGGTGTTGTCAAGCTTAAATATTTACAGGAGCAAATTGTCACCTCAAGCAGTTTTATCTTAAATTATAATATGCATAATTATGAAAGAATGCAAAAAAACGGGTATCAGATCCCCAAAGTCAATTAATTAGGGTGAATTATTTAGGGAAGAGCGTTGTCATATAAAGCTGAAGGTGGAGATGCACTAATTCCCCTTTAATGCAAAGTGCGCCTATACAAATTGTGATCCATCAATGTGAATACAACCTAACCATTCTTTTATTATGATCCATAGATGCCTGATAATCACTTTGGTTTCTGCAGTCCCAGTGAGACTGCAAAAATAGATTAACTGAGCATCCAATGGGTTTTATTGAGCCACCCTACCTAATGGTTAGCATAAGATTTGGCAGGTCATCACTTTAATGCATCAAAGTTTAGTAATGCACCTGCCTTTTCATATACCTTGCAAGAATTCTGGAATCACAAGTTCAGCAATTAATGACTTAATGCTCATGGCTTTAACTTGTTAGTCTGGATAAAAGGCAAGGTGGCATTCATTTCTACTATAATAATAATAATGACGTGTAAGATCTATTTTCCCCTTCCTTTCAATTTTGTTATATATTAGATAACAAGGGAATAATGCTGTAAGTTGACATAAATCTTGAAAGCCCTTGAGATGTTTCTTTGAATTAATGCTGCTACATAGCTAGTGAAGCAAACTTTACCATAAACGAAATCATGTATCAGTCCCAAAGAATTAGATATTTTTCCTTAGGGAACTCCCAAACAGTAGTGAGCAAACACACCACAGACACATATATGTATATTTCATAGCCCAGGTTCTGGAATATACTATTGGACTGAGCAATAAATGTGCCCATATAAATATTAACATCTTGAAGAATCTCTTAATTAGTTTGTTCAAGGTTATTAAGTGCACATTGATAATGAATATCAAGTATCTTAATGCTGATCTATGGAGAATGTATTCTCTTGAATTTTGAATGTACTCTATTTCAAAACTATTACTTTTGACTGTTCAGATTTGAAGCACAGAAAAATCTGAAGATAAACCCTTTTCTCTCCAATAACCTAGATATTTTGTGGTAGTCACCTTTTTCATAGTTTCTCATAAGTAAACAACTGTCACAAACCTAAATTTTCTGGAATGGAAGAGATTATTAGAAATCTTTTTATTAAAATGTGAAAATGTATATCTGTATTTTTGATCATGTTATAGAAATCATAGGTATATTATAAATAAAGTATTTTTGGGAACAAACTGCTGAACTGCATGTTTTGTGTGTTTCCAGGTTAATATGTTGCACACAAATGACATTTAAATATAGCCAATAAAAATGACTAATGCATACATCTAGCATATAATTTGGTTTTGTGGAATATTTGGTTATCTATTAGTCTGAACTAAGAAGTATAACTGACATATTTTCCAAATTGGAATTCCCTAAAGGGGGTGCAGTCCAATGGATGCTTAGAAAAAAGTCCTACAATTCCCAGCTCTCCCCAGCAAGGCTGCTGTGGAATGCAGGGGAATGCAGAACTCTTTTCTGTCTAAACTTGCATAGGATTGTGCCCTAGTAGGTACTAAGCCAAGGTGTCACACAGTTTAATTTAATTAGGCTGGATGTTAAGCAAAGCAAAGCAAGGATGGTGAATGAGAGAGAGAAGCTGATTTGATGCTGAAGCCACAATACAGTTTTCCTTCTTGCATTTTTAACGGAATTGTATTACTCCAGGGCGAACAAGATTGGCACTAAACTGCCAAAAGCTAGAATGCCAGCACCAGCTCGCTAGGGCAAAGCACGCTACAAGAAGCTCACGTGCAAGAAGGTGCTGAAGATAACAGTTCTAAGCCTCTAGAACTCGCCCGTACACAGAACGCCTGAAGCTGGGTAGGGCTGGCCTTATCTTTGGCAGGGGCAATCACCTTTCTAGAGCGAGGGCGGGGCAGGGAACCGCACCCAGAGCTGCTACTCTCTCCTCCAGGACGGGCAGCCTTGGCTTTCAGACGCACCTTCCATCCCGAGCAGATGATCAGCTCCATCACTGCTGTCAGCACCGCCCTGGGGGGGGCTGTATACCTGGACTGCCGCCAGCGTCCTCGGTCAAGTAGGCAGCCTGGAAAGGCGGCGCTCCCGCAGCTCCGCGGCACAGGCGGAAGGCAACAGCGCCGCCACACACAGGCTGCCAGGCCCCGAGCGCAACCTACCCTGAGCCGCGCTCCCTGCCCCAGAGCCCGCCCCCAGCCCTCCCTCTCTCTCAGCTGTTTGGCTCGGAAAAGACGAGGAGGAGCGAGCCGCGGACTGCCTGGATGTGCCCGAGGAGGAGCGGAGGGCATAAAAACAAGTTGGTCCCTGGGAAAGGTGAGTGTATTGCAAAGCGCAGGTGCAGGCCAGAGGCTCGTCGCAGACGCCCCGTCCTGAACGCGTTGGGCACTTTTCTTCCCAGGCTTGCTGACGGGAAACAGTGCGGCCTCCCAGTGCCCGGCATGCCTTCGCCTCCTCCGGCCCTAAGGCGCCAGATACGGGATTCCCTCTCTCCCTAAAGAGAAGCAAGGAGCGTAAGCTTCCGCGCATCTCTCTCAGGCTAATGCCAGCGTCATTACAGATCCCGTAACTGGTGGTGGTGACAGCCCTGTAGCCAGCGGGGCAGCAACATTTCTCGGAGGGGCATGGGGAGGGTTGATCATCAGAAAGCAAGGGCGTGAAATCTAGATACCCGACACTGTACTTGCATACCAAGGGGAACCTAGCGCCGTGGGCTTTGGGGTTATTTTGTTTCTAAAGAAGTTAGCATGAATTAATTTTAGTAAGTTCATTTGGCTGGAGCTTGCAGTAACAGCTTCAGCCCCCGGGGGTAGACTTCCCTCACCACCGCGTTGCTTTGCAGTCCATAATGCTTGAAACCACACAACATTGAAAGCTTTTCTACTGGAGGCATGAATGGATACTTAACACAACATTTGCAGTCATAGTAATGGCTTTTTTAGATCAAGGAAAGTCTAACATTATTATTGAACGGCTGCATGAAATCCTGGGGATTTGTGCAATTCTGCTGTACTACAGCACCACCTAGTGCTTGTGTAATGGAACAACTAGAGAGGCAGAGAGAGGAAAATCACAAGTGGAAAACCTTAAGAAACTGATCTTAATTCTGCCAAGAAGCTGAAGCCTCAGCAAAATGCTGAGCTAGAAGTCCTAGTAAGCAAAGGGACTTAATTATATACCTGTCCTTCCTCCTGCTGTGGAGCAGAGAAAAGGACTAAAGGACCCCCACCCCTCCCTTGGGAGCTGTAAGGATGCTCTATTGCAGAGCCAGTGCCTAGGGGTGCCAGTGAGCATTGCTTCACTCAGATGGGACTGGCACAACATTTACAACTCTGAGAGCTGTCTGAGGTTGCTTGAAGCCTTCAGTATATCAAACTAAGGACTCATTCATGCAAAGCCAGGTCCATTTGCTGGGTTTTCTATATAGTGCTATCAGGGTGCATGGCCCTTTACATGTTACAAGAAGATAGATCTTCACCCCTAGGAGCTTTCAGTCAAAAGTTTGACATGCAAATTTCTCTGTTAATCACCTCTGTTAATTAAGGGGACAAAAGTGGAGGCAGGGAGAAATGGGGGGAAATAAATAGTTCTATCAGTTAGAAGCTCAGGCTAAGTTACAGGCATTACATTCAGTCAGATTCTATGTGAAATCTTTTTTCATGTTCACTCTAGCATAAGTACATAGGTTACAGGCTGGACTGGGAACTTAATGTCTAGGATGGGTAGCTTTTAAGATCCAGTTTGGGACCCCACAACTACTCTAGAGTAAAAGTAATTGTTGGACACATTTTTTAAAAATAGCTGTTTTAACCCAAAGACAAATGGCGATTCAAGCAACATTGTGCAGTTATTCTCTTCTTCCCCACTTCACTGATTTTCTGTGGATGCTTTTGGGTAACGCTTTTATCATACCATCACCTGCCTTATTCATGGAATTTGACAGAAGAATGTCATCTTCCTCGTCTAACCCTTGTGTGTTTTCCCATGCTTATGCTGGGTTTTTTTTTAACTTACCATGGATAGCCACTCAATGTCTTCTGGCTGCTAGTGCTGGAATTATACATCTGGAAGCATCCCATAATAAGAAAAAAGTTGAAAGAACTGATGGAGGACACAAGAGCATTCTGAGTGGATGTCCATGTCACGTGGAGCTCCATAAAATTCCATGAATGAGGCAGCCCAATTGCACAATAAAAGCTTCATCTGGAAATCTGTAATACAGAGTTAAGGCACAAGAGGGCAGAAGCTGTTCTACAAGGTTTACTGGAAAGGGGGGAGGGGGTTGAACTAGGATTTTAATGAAGAGAAGTAATGTCACATAAGCCTATAGGTGAAGGGCCTTTTCCACTGCTGCTTCCCATCTCTGGAACTCCCTCCCTAGGGAAATTTGCCCGGTGCCGTCTCTATTTTCTTTTCGGTGCAGGCAAAGAAAGACATACCCTTAAAATACATATTTATTTAACACTTAGACCTTACGAATGCTGTGGCCTTTTTATATTGCTCTTATATTGATGTTTTTAATCTTTTAAGTGTTTTAATAGGTTTTAATGTTTGTGTGTGTGTGTGTGTGTGTATATATATATGTTTAATATGTTGTAAACCACCTAAGAAGGCCTTTTGGCGGTTATAGGCAGCCTATAAATATGTGAATGAATGAGCTTTTAGAATGCAGTTCCAAGCATAGTGTTAGATCCAGAGTAGCATTTAGTGGATTTCCATTTATGCTGGAGGTAGAGGGCAGGGAGGCAAGGCGAGACAAGACCATCTTTATGAAGCTCCGGCTGAAGTATGTCCCTGTTTAATCTACACTGCCCCAGTTAGGAAAGCAAGGAATAGGCAAAGTAGACTATATCAGCACCTTTGGGAGCCAGTCCTTGAAGTTCTGGCTGAGTCCTCAGCCAGTGTCACTCCTTTCTCCTCTTCCTCAGTTGAGGAAAGTAAGGAAGAAGCTAAGCTGCCTGAATCATAGGCTCTAGGCAGCCTCCTCAAGGATGTTACTCCTGCTTCTTCTTGGAGGGGGAGGAGCTTGACAAGGCCTCCACAGGCCAGCTAGGGTGGCCTGGCAGGTAAAATCTGGTTCAAAGGCTAGAGATTCCTCATTCCTTATGCTTGCAGTTGTTACCTTTCCTGTTTAAAAACAGAATGCTAGAAAGTAAATTCTGTACTTGAGTGCCATTTGGAGGGAGAGAATCAAAACAGGATGTTTATCTTACTTTTGCATTTCAGGTTAATCATGGCCATTTCCAGCCTTGTACAATGTTGCCCATTTGGACACCTTTGGACCTTACCAAGGTTCCAGAATAGATGCCAAAGAAAAGCCTTTAGTGCATGGATCAGGGCTGGCCCCCAGCCTAAAATTAAGAAGAACACAGCAGAACTATTGAAGAGACAAGTTCTTATGCCATCCCCTCAATGGAGTCACTTGGTCAAGAGAAGTCTGCATGGTACTCACTTTCACTGTCAGGAAGTGATGCTTACCAGTGAACGATATGGAATTCAGAGATTGCCCTTTGCTCATGTTTCTGATGCAGACTTGTCTTTCTTTGAACACCTTATGCCTGGAAGGGTGATCACAGATTCAGATGAACTGAAATTCTTTAATGTGGACTGGCTGAAGTCAGTGAGAGGTAGGCAATCTTAACAATATACATTCTAATAGCTATCTATGGCTGGGCAACTCAGTAAGTTGCACAGAGCAAGCCATCTTTCCAAAACTGTTTTTCAATAATAAATCCATAATCAACATTTTTATATCTCCATAAGATGTCTTACGCTTCTTCATGCTGGCTAAGTTCAAGGTTAGAATGTATGTTTCAAAGAGAAAAGGGAAGCATGAACCAGCCACAGTATGATCTTCAAACAGATATACTCACATAACATTTATATTGCAGGCTGTAGTAAAGTGTTGCTGAAGCCACAGACAACAGTGGAGGTCTCCAAGATTCTCAGGTAACATAAATGGCATTTACATGAACACACTGAACAGCGCTAGAGACTTTTGTATGCAGGATAAAATACTTCTGCATTGTTCACACACATTTTAAAAATAGGAATACAGTTCCTTGGAGAAGTATTCACCACTCTTTTTTAGACTTGTTTGTGTTACAACTAAAATTGAAATGGATTTAACTGGCACTGTTAGCACTTGATGTGCAGAAGATACTCAACCTTGTGTATCTGTCGCCAAATACATTAGCTAAGATGTTTCCAAATATGTCAAACGGATGTTGGAAATGTAAACATAAATTGGGTACATTCTATCATATGTGGTGGACTTGCGATAATGCGAAAAAGTATTGGATTAAAATACATAAATGGCTTGAGGAAATGTTACAAAAATCCTTAGCTTTTAAACTGAAGTTTTTTTATTAGGCATTATACCTGTTGATATTAGTAAACAATAAATGTACTTGATTTTACATGTAATTACTGTGGTGAGGATTGCATTTGCTCAGCACTGGAAAAGCGAAGAACCACCCACTGATGAACTGATCATAAAAAAGATCTTGGAATAAGCAGAAATGGATAGATTGACTTTGTCATTGAAGGAGAAAGAAGATACTGGTTTCTATCAAACTTGGGACTCTTTTTATTACTGGCTAGAGATATGGGACTTCGTATAGATTTAAATATGTTTTTAAGTTATCATAAATAGAAAAAAAAATGTGGGGGCTGACCCAGCAGGTCCAAAGTTTCTGATGATTGATGTTGTTTTTAGTTTTCCTTTGTTTTAGGGTTATTTTGAATAAAACTTACTATAAAAAAAGATACTCAGCCTTGTGAAGCTGCAAAGTATTTTTATTCTGGCACAAAAGTTAAGTAAACAAGTAAGCTGTTGTTTGCATAAGTAATCTCCCCCTTTGCTGTCACATGCCTAAATAAACTTTGATCCAACAGACTGCATCCAGAAGTCACATATTATAGTTGGATGGAGTCCACCTGTGTGCAGTTACAGTGCTGTATGATATGAGGTTAAGTACACCTGTTTCCAGAAGGACCGAAATTTGCTGGATAGCATGGAGAGTACACAGCACCATGAAAACCAAGTCCCAGTCAAAGCTCAGACCTCAGTCTGATTTAGGATCTCTGGCAGTCTTGAATATTGTTGCTCATGAATCATCCCCATCTAATATAACAGCTGGAGGAGTTTTGCCAGAAAGAAGAGGCAAATATTACAAACTTGACCGTTGCAGTTGTGCAAACTTACCCCTAAACACTAGTAGTTGCACTTGCTAGCAAAGATGCTTCAACCACGTATTGACTGGAGTCGGGGGAATATTGATGCCACCAGCAAAAGTCAGTTTGTTTGTTTTTTCATTTCCTCAACTTTTGTGCTTCAAGAGAACTATTTTGCACATTGACAGTGTTGAATATCTTGTGTACATCAAGTGGTAACAATGTCAGTTAAAATTATTATGATTATTTCAACAAAACAAAATATGAAAAAGTGAAAGAAGGTTGACTTCTGCAAAGCACTGTATGTGAACTGGTTTCTCCTAGTGACATCATGTGGTGATGACCCAGAATTGTTCTTTCTTCCATGGACAGAGGAGCCCGCAAAAGGAAAGAGTGAGGTAGCTCTTATTACCATCACATAAAGATAGGGTTAGGTATAGGAAGACAAAGAGGAATCTGTCTCTTTGTAACAAACTGTTTAGTGATAAAGATTTAACATGGTTTTGAATGTTTAATACGGAAGAAATTAACTGATATTAGGTGAGAAATGGATTTCAATAGAAGGAGGAGGTTCCTAATCCTGTGAATCTGATTCCTCCTTCTGGGAACCCTGTGATGCATTTCTAGGGTACAAAGGAACATGGAAGTCCTATATACTTTCCACTTGATTCAGTCAGCAAGGGAATACTTTCAAAAGCACTAAGAAAACCCTGGGAAGCTCATAGAATCATATAATAGTAGAGTTGGAAGGGGCCATGAAGGCCACCAGGTCCAAGCCCTTGCTGTTGCAGGACACCAATTTACACCATCCTACTCAGATGGCTGTCCAGTTTCTTTTTGAATGTTTCTAGTGTGGGAGAACCCACAACCTTTCTAGGCAACTTTCCACATTGCTCTGACAGTGAGGAAACATTTCCTTATATCTAGTCTGAATCTGGGTTATCACAGCTTGAATTCCTTATTCTCTGCCCTACACTCTGGTATCAGTGAGAAGAGATTTTGACCTTTATCTTTGTGACAGCCTTTGAGGTACTTATAGAGTGATACTATGTCCCCCCTCAGTCTTCTCAAGGCTGAACATGCCCAGTTCTCTCTGTCTCTCTTCATAGGGCAATGTTTCCAGACCCTGGATCATATTTGTTGCCCTCCCCTGGACCCTTACCAATAGTTGTTGGTATTGATCTTGCACTTATACAGCAACATCTTAAATGAAAGTAGCTCTTAAGTCATTAAAAATAAACTCTGCCATAAAAATTCTGTCTGGAGCATGTGACCTTCTAGTCCATGGGTACTTCCAAATGAGGTTTTTATTTTGCAATCTGCCTCAAAACCAGAATTTTACAAGGGCTCCAGGTCATGTTTTCTATTTGTTTCCCCTCCATGTCCTCCCCACTGTTTCTTCCATCTTTTAAATTTGATTTTAATTTTAATTTGATCTTTATTCGCTTTTGGCAGCAACCTGAATCAAAGGCCATTCTGCATATCAGTACTGCCAGTAAAGAGATGCATTTCATCGCAGGGCCCGTTTACAAATATACTTATCTAGGTACACAACCATGTGGGGAAACAGTGAGAACTGAAAGCTCTGACAGCTGGCATCCGCTTCTGAGACTGTGACTGAACTTTTGCCCAGCACTGCTCCCACAGAGATTATCAGCTGCAGACACAGGAATCACACTGGCTAAATTCATAGGCTAGATTTAGTTGAGGCCATCAGGCTCACTGTGAGCCCCTCTAGACCTCTAGGTGCCCTTTAGATTTTAAACTGTTTTTATTTCAAGTACAACTTTCTAAGACACATCCTGTGCCATTAGGAGCAAGACTCCCATGGGCAACATGTGTTCCCTTGCAGGTACTGCAGTGAGAAGAACTTGGCTGTGAACCCTCAGGGGGGTAACACCGGCCTTGTGGGGGGCAGTGTCCCTGTCTTTGATGAGATCATTCTCTCTACAGCTCTTATGAACCAGGTCATCAGCTTTGACAATATTTCTGGTAAATACATTTTCCTAAGAATAAATGGCTAATCTACTAACCCTCTAAAGTAGGGTCGAGTACAAATTAGATCTCCATGTGGTAGGGGCATCTAGGAATTCAAAATTCCCCAGGATCTACTTTCTGCCCACCCCTACTCTAAAGCTTACCATCCCCCTACATGTTACTACAGGGATGGTAACATGGAAGGTTAATGGATCTAGAAAGCCTGCCAAAAATATTCCCCTACCTGCAATAGCAGTGGGAGGCAAACCTGAAACAAAGGGGCAGAGAAGGGGAGCAGGATGCTGTCTGTTGAGAAGTGCTGGCAAAACATTGTTCAATAACGAGAAACAAGCCACAAAAACTGGGTTTGGACAACACACTAACCCACATTCAAGGGTTGGGTATAGGTTTAATATGAGTTACCACTGAACCCTAGGTTGTTGCTGAAACCTGGGCTCTTGTGTTGCCTGAACCCATAGGTTCATAACAACTTACGGAGACTTTGTTATTGTGCTGTGAACTGTGAGTTGTTCACCATGGTTTATTATCACAGCTGGATTTAAACAATATGACATCCTACATTTAATGACAACCCCATTTCAGCCCATTCTTAACCCTTGAATGTGGGTTAGCTTGTAATAGCAGGGCCAGGCCTACCATCAGGCAGAGTGAGGTGGTTTCTCTAGGCAGAAGATGCCTGGGTGTGGGGAGCAAGAATGCAGTGTGGGAGGACAGAGCTATATATGCTATGCTATGTGACCTGTCCTACAATCCTAATATAGCCCACTGGGCACGGTGGAGCACAGCCCCATTGCCAGTGTTGAAGTTAAAACCCAGTTTCATTTCAGTCCACTTCTGTCCATGCAATGGTATCAGGGGAGAATTCCACCTTGACCTTTGCCTCAGGCAGCAAAACTCCTCGGGCTGGCCCAGAGCCTTTGTAATGATGGGTATATTGCTGGGAATAAACGAGGAACAAATTGGACAATTATGCCACTGAGAGATGAATATAGGAAACAAACCTCTTGGGTACTTGAAAATCCTCCTGAAAATGCTTTAAGGGAGATAAATATTTAACCTTACTTTGTTACCAATGTTTGATCCTCCTCCAACAGGAGGAGGGAAGGGAGGGGATAGAACCCAACATCATAAACTGTGTTTTGTATTCCTCTTAAATTCTCTTCTGACAAATTCAAGAGGAAGTGCTGATTTCAGAGAAGCTCTTGGTGGCTGCATTCCAGGAATGGGTGGGGCAAAAGTTGCAGGCCTAAATCCCTCCTATCAGCATATCTTAATTAAAAGCTCTTTCTGACAATAACTAAGTTTTAGAAGAGGGATCTCAAGCTTTTAGAATGATGGTGGTAGGTGGCGGAATGCCAGGAAACCAACAAACTATTGGTGGTTCAGAGAAAACCCACAGGGTCATCTGGAGAACCCTAGAGGGCTGGATTGGGACCCCAGGCAAGTTCAACGCCCTTCACTTACATGGTTCTCTCTGCTGCCTTCCTTGTTATCTTTGCAACCGCTAATTGAAGTACACAGGGGTGGCATATAGTGACTGGCCTGAGCTTAGCCAGTGAGCCTCAGAGCTGAAGTTGAGAACTATTGCACAACCAAAAAGGAAGTTTGCATCCGTGTGTCAGACTGTGATGTAATGTGTATGTCTCAGGAATCCTAGTTTGCCAGGCAGGCTGCATTTTGGAGAACCTCAACCAATATCTAGGACAACTGGATTTCATCATGCCACTTGACTTGGGAGCAAAGGGCAGTTGCCACATTGGAGGGAATGTAGCCACAAATGCTGGTGGCTTGAGACTTCTGCGGTATGGCTCTCTCCGAGGGACAGTCCTGGGACTAGAAGTGGTAAGGTGAAACACTGAAAGTTATTTCTCATGTTTGTCTTACTTTAAAAGTTTACACCTCACACACACACACACACGTATATATCTGGAGCAATTCGTACTTCATAATGTGTATGAATGAAAATACAAATGCTTCAATGAAAGTATACCAGATATCCAAATAAGCATCCATTTGAAGATGTTCAATGCTGAAAGTGTTGTAAAGTCTGTGATGTGTTGCATTATAGAGTTAAGCATTTAGCCTTCCAGTATTAAAATATCAGTCATTAACTATCAGAAAGCTCCTTAACATCCATTCTGCTGATCATTTGTTGATTTCCATGTAGTAGCTAAATAATGTAATGCGTCTTACAGTACATATTTTATCTGTGCAATAACATTCTTCCTAAAAGAAGCAACCATGTGTGATGTTAGAGCCAGTGTGGTATAGTGGTTAGTGTTTGACTGGGAGTAGTCCCCATGCAGCCATGAAGCTCACTGAGTTACACTGGGCCAGCCTGAGACTCTCAGCCTAACCTACCTCACAGAGCAGTTGTTGTGAGGATAATATGGAGAGGTGAATCTGTCCACAGTGACTATACCACATTGGCTCTCACTAATTTATTTTATCATCACTATTTTGTTTAGGAGGAAATGGTGTCCATAGTACTATGGAATATCCAAAAGATCTAGCTTGTTTGTAATCTAAGTTCAGTTTTTCTGCTGCTGCAGAGCCTTAAATTTGACCCGTTTGACATCCCACAGTGCCATGGAAGTAATTATTTTCCCAATATGTTCATTTTTTAATCACCTGGCCTACAGGTCCCTGTAGAGGAACAACTGGAAGGCAAAGATTAATTCTGAAACTCCCAAAGTTGCTCATTCCTGGCCTAATGAGAGAAAAACATCCTCTGTTAGTACTAATGGAATGAAGGCTTGTATTTTTCTTGAGGAGGCAGTGTATTTAACAGGGCATAGCAACTGGGTAGGAAGATTTAACTCTCTATATCTCCACATAGTTATTCTGATCCAGATTAGGGCCGCAGAGGCTTACAGGCTTTGGGGTTATGTTCCTGAAATTTAAGGGTTAGGTACACACTTCTTAATGTAACATGTAGTTTAGCCCTTTGTTTGTCCTCTTCTAGGTACTAGCTGATGGCTCCATTCTGAACTGTTTAGCTTCTCTGCGGAAGGACAACACTGGCTATGACTTGAAGCAGCTTTTTCTTGGGTCTGAAGGGACCTTGGGGATTATCACTGCTGTGTCCATCCTCTGCCCACCAAAACCCAAAGCTGTGAACCTGGCATTTCTTGGTGAGAACTATTCTCATCTTTCATTTCTAGGTGCTGCCTTTATGACTGCAAGTGGCACATAGTATGACTTGGATGCAACAGTGCTTGAGGAAAAAGTAATGGTCCTCTTAGGCTAGTTTGATTCTATTTAACTTTCAATGACACTTGAAGTGTTGACTGGTCCTGTTAATAAGGACGATGAACTAAGAGCAGAGAAAGTAGTTCACACCATTAGCGAGCAACATTTCACTATCACCTTGAAGACTACATTTCTATGGAATAATTCTGAGCTTCTTAGTAAAATAATTGTTCTGTTTGTAAAGGAACTGCAGGTAATATAACATAGTCAATAGGCCTCGTTTTTAAAGCCAGTAACAGAAGCATATTAAACCATTGCCATGGAATGGAGCAGACAAATCCTTCAGCCTGAAGAGTGTATGGGAGAAAGAACTAGTTGGCTAGGACACATGAAATGCATGTCTGTTTCTTCTTGATTCTGTACATACAGTCAGGTGCTGCTTTGAGCGCTACTGTACATGTAGCATTCTTTTTAGAAGACATTTTGGGCATTAATGAGTGCGCCAGCTGTTTATGGTCATAAGGACATTTTGCAGAAATATCTAATTATTTTGGAAGACTAACCCTACAGTACTGAGCAAAGATATCAAAGTGTTTTATCAAATGGTTGGTATCCAGTGTTAGCCTAACTTAAGTTCCATTATTTTCACCAAGAATTCATTTCATGAAGCATGTTAAATTGGGCTCAGTTTTCCTATAGTTGGCATCCTTTTATTTTTTGTGAATCAAAATAGACAAGATAAGCACCTGCTGCTAAGAATCAATAAGAACAATAAGATGAGCTATGGCAGATCAGGGCAAGAGGCCATCTAGTCCAGCATTCTGTTCATATTGTAGCCAACCAGTTTCCTATGGAAAACCTACAAGTAGGAAATAAACGGTATTCTTTTGGAAAGATCAGCTTTCCAAATATGGATAAGGGGCATTTCTCATAAACATCATTCAATGCTTAGTTTTTAAAAATCTCATCAACTACATTAGTTTGCTAGAAATGTGATGGTGTATGCCAACTTTTCCCAACCAGCAACATTCTAGATGTGTTGGAATGTGTATTCCTCATCCCTAGCCAGCATGGGCTGTGACCATACTAACTATGGGTGATGGGAGATTTAATATAATGCATCTGGATGGCACCAGTTTGGGTAAGCTGGTATCTCAAAGTGTGTAAACTGGATGAAAGTGATAGAAGTTTTAAAATTGCTTTATTTAGAAGTTTTTATTTTCTACTTGCATATTTTCTTTATATGATTTGTTTTCTCTGTAAAGGTTGTCCAGGTTTCTCTCATGTCCTGAAAACCTTCACCACCTGCAGGGGTATGCTAGGAGAGATCCTGTCTGCTTATGAGTTCATGGATAATGAATGCATGAAGCTGGTTGAAAAACACTTGAAACTGGCCAACCCAGTGGCAGGTATCAGTGGGTCTATGTGCAAAATCAAAAGAAGGGATTTCATTCCTAATTCTATTGGCCAAAGTTTCCATCAAAAAAATCTAATGACCGAATTGAAATTTATTGATTCCCTAGCTGTTTTCTTTGTCTGCTGCTATATGATTGTCCACTGTAATCTAGGCTTTTTGAATGCTTTTTTGCTCATGAGCAGCTGCATCACAGAGTGATGGCTAAGGAATGGTGGGAGTTCTTAGACTTTTTTCTGACTGAGCATGTATAGGATTGTGCACTTAGAGGCTTATGCTTGTTGGAATCAATATACTGGCATTTCTATAAAACCTATTAAACATTTTAACAAGTATTATGAAATATACATTTTTATACCATATGAAATTATTTATCTGCTATTTTTCACTCATTTATAGGCTAAATTACTAAGAAATACCTGAGGGACAAGGTATTTGTAGTTTTAAAACTGAGAAATCACTAGCAGTTATACAAGTGGATAACATTAGGCTCTAAACTTGGTTCTATAGGAGTGGATTCTTTAGAATGTAATGTCACTTTCTCAACTTCTGCCTGTTGCAGTCAGAGCCATTCTAGTGAAGATACCTTGGCTTTTAGCTCCAACAACAGAGGTCTTATATTTGTATAGTTCTGCCCATTGTGACTGCCTGCTTTTACATTTCTAGAAAGTCCTTTCTATGTGCTAATTGAGACATCGGGTTCCAGTTCTGTCCATGATGAGGAAAAACTGAGTCATTTCCTGGAACATGTCATGGCATCTGAGTTGGTGGTAGAGGGAACTCTGGCCTCAGAAGATAAAAAAATTAAGGTACATTCTCCTCTACCCAAATGTGCTTGCCTTAGGATGCTGATTTGAATCTGAACTGTGTGCTGATTGAAGGTGCAACTGTTTCCTTGCACAGTATAGACCAGTGATTCCAGATTATCCAGCCATTCAGAAGAAATGCAGTGGTTGAATTTTTCCTCTGTTTTACAGTATTTCCATTCATCATAGTACTATTACTTTTGCTTCCTCTTAATTTGTTAGGTAGATGACCTTAAATTGTTAATTAGAAATAGTTAAATGACAATGTGATTAAACTTCATTACATAATAGGATAGAAATGATCTCAGTTTTTCAAATTCAAAAAGCAATGTGATAACAAGGCAAAATAGCATTTTGAAGATAGTAGGGGAGGAAAGACATCTGTATCAGTGGTTTGTCCCCTTTAGAAAAGCTCCAATGAACTCATAACATCTCAAGGAGCAGTCTAATATTTCTGGAACACTGCCTTTCAAAAAAAAGTCATTGTTTGGGGGATAATTAAATGTAGATGAAAGCCATGCATGTGCACAACACTTCAAATCTCAGCCATAACAGATGTATTTAGAAGAAGGATGTCTATTGTCAAGAGGGATTGATTGGACAACTGGTAGATCTAGCACAGACATGAATTTAGAATACTGTCAGTTCTTCATCATGGCCTCTGTGCCTCACTCATATGGGTGCTGCGCCTGCGCAGTGCCTATGGCCAGAAAGATTCAAAAGCTTAACGCTTTTGGCAGGTTCTCCCCCCCACATGGTATAAAAGGGCGGAGTGCCCGCCATTTCCTCAGTTTTCTTGCGACCGCCGTTTGCTGTGCCTTGAGCCTTTTCGTCTCTCAGTTTGTACATATTTATCCAGTTGCTATTATCTCTTTTAGTCATTACTATTCCAAGTTTTTCCCTCCCTGTTAGAAGTCTTTCTTCTCAATTTCCCCCTTTTCCTGTTTAAAAAAAAATGCCAAAAAAATATTGTTCTTCTTCCTCTTCACTTTGCTATCTCCTCTTTCTTCCTCAATGGAGCAGCGTGTGGCTTTCCGCAAGTCCAAAACTCAGCGTGGGTCCAAAATGTACTTGCGGGTGCGCAAGTACTCAGCGCGGGTCCAAAATGTTACCTACTGATCCGCACGACCTATGCCTTCTCTGTCTTGGAGAAGGGCACAGAACTGATAAATGCGGCCATTGTCAGGCCTTTACGAAGCAGGCAAGGAAAAATTGGGAGAACCGCCTGCGCAAACTTTTGTGGGACCAAGCCCTACTTCAGTCAGACCAACTGGCAGGCAAATCTGCTCCTCCGTCCACCTCTTCCACCATGCCTCCACCCCGCCCGTTGGCTGATGGTGCCCCTTTGCCGGAGGGTCAACGCTCCTCTGTATCTCCGCATAAGCAAAAGGAGAAGAGGAAGCATAGTGGTTCGGACAAGTCCTCAGCCCATAAGAAGCCTAAGAAGGACAAGGCGGACAAGTCCGCTCACAAGCTTAAGAAGCCCAACCATTCCAGGCACCGTGACTAAGGTTCGTCCGCCCCATTGATCCTGACGGCTGTTTCGGTACCAACACCGACCAGACCGGCTCTCCAGTTGGCCATGCAAGTGACTCCGCCTGGGTCTCCAAGACGGGCTGCACCTTCTGTCCAGTGCTCTCCCGAAAACCAGGATGGGATCAATTTCCGACGGAGAGATTTGAGACTCTCCTTTCCTCCAATGGCTCGTTCACCGACTCCCCAACCATCATGCGAGCCTTCCCAGAGGGCTGCTCCTCAGCAGGCATGATATCAACAGCGTGCCTCTGTTTGGCCCTTGAAAGAATGAGTGCAACCACCCCACAGGCCATCTCATCACGAGCCATGGGATGATTATTCACCTTACAGTTACTACCTGTCAGTGCACGATTGTTCCTTCTCTCCGGTACCAAGAGAGATGCCCCTTCGACTTCGAGGGTGGCTCAGTCCAGGTGTCCCACTTCGCCTATCGACTCTTCTAGTCTCCCGCCTCACTATGATTCGGACTCGGAGGACTCTGAAGTGGAATCTACTTCACCAGATGTGGTGATTTCTACACAGGGTCCCAGCTCACCAGAGGAACCCTATGTAACCTTTGGGGAACTAATGGCAAGGCTTACGAGGTCACTTGAGATTGAGGCCCAGCACCGCTTCGATACCAATACCGACAAGTTCTAGAACATTGTCAAGGGCGAACAGTCTGCCGCCATCATTTTGCCGCTGATTACCACTCTTTGCCAAGCAATGATGGAACCGTGGAACTACCCTAATCAGCCTCAACCCACTTCGCGGCGATATGATTCCATGTATTGATTCCATGAGCAGGATATTCCATTCCTTCTGTGTCACCCAAGACCAAACTCGATCGTCATTGAGTCTTCTCAAGGACATGAGTCCAGGGGACACACTACTCCCCGCAACAAAGAGAGCTGTAAGATGGACATGTTGGCTCACCAGATCTATGCCGCTACAGGACTTGGCCTCCGTATTTCTAATTATGAGGCCACGCTGGCTCAATACCAATATTTTCTAATGCAAAAGTTAGAAAATATCACGGCCTCACTTCCAGATCTACAAAAAGGCCTGGCTAGGATCTTTATTAAAGAGGCTATGCAGGTGGCAGTCCAGCAGCTTTCCACGGCAAGACACCATGTTGACTCTGACTCTAGAGCTCTTGTCGACGCTGTAGCCCTCCATTGCCATGCCTGGCTCTGGAATTGCAATTTCTTGGACGAGACGAAACACCGGATTGAAGAAATGCCCTTTGACGGTTCAGGGCTCTTCAATGCTCGGACAGGCCACATGAGTTGAGGGTTACAGCTCGCCGGATGGAAGTCCTTAATCAATCGTGCCATAAGTGGTCTTGGTCTCATCCGTCCTATAGGTACCAGCCCTACTCACAGTTTGCGGATCGTCAGCAATTCCAGCCCCACCAACAGCGTTGGAAGCAACAACAACAACAATGCTTCCAACAGAACCGGTGGCATCCCAACTCCGACAAACGTCAGCATTGATGGCATGAGCGAACCTCTCCTCCTCAACACACCTTCCCCTCTTCCTTTTAGGGATCGACTGCAAAGTTAAGTCCATTACATTTGGGAGTCCATCACATCTGATCAGTGGGTTTTATCCATCATACAGCACGGATATCGAACTGAGTTCGATACCGTGCCCCCATCAGGACCAATCCGATTTACGCCTCAGTCATCGGTTCTCGTTGACGAAGTTCAACAGCTTCTTCGTAAAGGAGCTCCGAGGGGCTCCATGGCTTCTACTCAAGATATTTCACGGTCCCTAAACGTGATGGTGGTCTTCGTCCAATACTGGACTTAAGTGGCATCAATAGGTTTATCAAAAAGTTTCAGATAACCACCCTTCAAAATATCCTTCCGTTGATTAGAAGAGAGGATTGGTTCGCTTCTCTGGACTTGAAAGATGCCTATTTTCACATTACCATTCACCCGTCCCACAGGCGTTTTCTTCGATTCACCATCGGTTCCGACCTGTTTGAGTTTAACATCCTTCCGTTTGGACTGGCTACTGCCCCCCGGGTTTTTACGAAGTGCATGGCCCTGGTGTGCGCGCTTCTTCAGCTCCAAGGCATTCAAGTATACCCCTACCTGGATGACTGGCTGATCATCTCCCAATCTAAGGAAGGCCTTCGGTCATCAATTCAAACTATTTGTGCTCTCTTGGACAATTTGGGACTATGCATTAATCAGGAGAAATCATGCCTTACTCCTTTGCAGGTCATCGACTTCATTGAAGCCCGTCTCGATTCCACGCTGATGAGAGCCTTCCTTCCACAAAATCGACAGGACAATCTGTGTTCATCGGTCCATCGAATCCACATGGACAGAGCTGTTCCAGCACTCTCAGTGCAGAAACTTCTCAGCCATATGGCCTCTACAGTATCCACAGTTCCCCACGCCAGGCTATGGATGAGACCACTCCAGTTGTGGTTCAACGGACTGTTTCAACCTCAACAAAACTCACCTCACTGTCTTCTCCACCTTCCGACCTCTGTCCTCCAGACTCTATCTTGGTGGTCTATGCGGCAGGATCTGTCCATGGGCGTCTCATTTCGTCCGCCTCACCCGACCTTGACTCCGTTTACCGATGCCTCCCTTACTGGGTGGGGAGCTGTATATGCCGGTCTCCATACACAGGGCACCTGGGACCATCAGGAGGCCACCAGACATATCAATTACCTCAGACTTTTGGTGGTCTTCAAAGCCCTTCGATCAATCAAGGACTCTCTTCGGCGACACATCCAGATTGCCTCTGACAACATTGTTGCTGTATTCTATATAAACGAACAGGGTGGGACGAAGTTCGCCCCCTTGGCCCGCCTGGTGATGCAACTGTGGGACTGGTGCATCCCCAGGGAGATCACCCTCCTAACAGTTCACCTGGCTGTAACCGACAACGAGGAGACCGATGCCCTCAACAGGCAGATGTCGACGACCCATGAATGAGAACTGGATTGTTCGACTTGCCATCTCTCTTCCAGACTTGGGGCTCTCCAGACATAGACTTGTTTGCCACTCACACGAACAAGGTGTGCGAGGCGTTCTGCTCTCGTGCCGGCATCAGCCTGGGATTGACGGGGGACGCACTCATGATCCCTTGGACGAACACATTCTTTTATGCATTTCCCCCGATCCTGCTCATAATGAGGGTCCTAGCCAAGATTGCCTATGACGGTGCCACAGGGATCCTGATCACCCCCTGGTGGCCCTGTCAACCATGGTTCCCTACTCTTCTCTGCCTATCCAGCAGCACTTTTCTCCACCTGCCTCTCATACCTCATCTGATAACTCAGCAGTGCGGAGCCGTTTGCCACCCAGATCTTCCTTCACTCAACCTGACAGCCTGGCTCATTCTATGATCCATGGGGACCCTTCGGTATCGGTGGATCCCGGGACTCCTATACTTCCTCGACATCGTCCCGATACAGCCTCTCCTTCCCCGCTACCAATAGACTTCTCGTCGAACACAAGCGCTCTCCATCCTGATATCCAATTCATTCTTCAGTCTGCCCTAAGACCTGCAACTCGCCAGTCTTATGCGGCCAAATGGAAGCGCTTCGCATCCTTTGCTGAATCCAATGATTTTGTCGTTTCTTCGGCCTCTGTTGAAAATGTCCTTCAATTTCTCTTATCACTCCATCAATCGGGACTTAAGCCATCTTCCATTAAAGTTTATACAGCTGCAATCTCCCACTATCATTGAAAGGTGCAGGGTTCTTCGATTTTTTCTCATACCCTCATACATCGATTCCTCAAGGGTCTACAGAACCTTCAGCCACCACTTCAACCAGTTATTCCTACTTGGAGCCTCTCCGTCGTCTTCCAGGCACTCACTTGGGCTCCTTTCGAGCCCTTGGCAACTACTGACTTACGTCTCCTGTCTTGGAAGACTGCTTTTCTCGTCACGGTCATGTCTGCCAGAAGGGCTAGTGAACTCTGCGCACTTCGGATAGATCCTCCTTACCTTAACTTTCATAAGGAGAAAGTCGTTCTCCGCACTGATTCAGTGTTCTTACCTAAAGTCGTGCCTTCCTTTCATATTAACCAGGTCATTGTGTTACCTGCCTTTTTCCCTACGCCAGCTACACCAATAGAATGGTCGTTGCATGCTCTCGACGTCTGTCGCTGCCTTGCCTTTTACAAGTCTCGCACAGAGTCCTTCCGTAAATCTAACCGCCTCTTTATTAAATACTTTGGCTATGATAAGGGCTCTCCAGTCGGTTCTCAGAGACTTTCAGAGTGGATCATACAGACCATCGAGTTTGCGTATCAGCTCGCCAATCTTGACTTACCTGTCATGCCTGGAGGGGATTCCACGAGGGCGGTAGCTGCTTTCTCTGCTTTTGCTGCTGGCATTCCAATCTAGGACATTTGCAAGGCTGCCACTTGGACTACTCCTTGCACCTTTGCCAGGCTTTACCGCCTTGATGTGCGTGCCGGACACGATTGCTCCTTTGGCCGGGCAATCCTTTCTTCTGTTCTTAAATGATGACACCACCCGCCTCCGGTTCTGGTAAGCTTGTTAATCACCCATATGTGTGATGCACAGAGGCCACGACGGAGAAAGGCAGGTTGCTCACCTCTAACTGTCGTTCTTCGAGTGGCCATCTGTGCATTCACACAACCCACTTGCCAGCCCCGCTCGGTGTTGGTGAATGGGTTTATACTGTACCATTTCTCCTTGATAACGGTTTCGTTAAAAAATTTTCTCTCGGGTTCAGCAGTTCCCTGCAATCTCTCTCGCTCCCATGAGGGGGCGAACAATTGGTGTTCAGTAGACTGAGGAAATGGCGGGCACTCCGCCCTTTTATACCATGGGGGGGAGGGGTACGGAGTTCCCGCCAAAACCGTTAAGCTTTTGAATCTTTCTGGCCATAGGCACTGTGCAGGCGCAACGCTCATATGTGTGAATGCACAGATGGCCACTCGAAGAACGACAGTTACAGGTGAGCAACCTGCCTTTATCCTGAAAGCCTACTGCAGCCTTACCCAGTGTGATGCTTTCCGACACTGGAGGACACCATGTTGGTGCAGGTTGGCCTTACACACTGATTACAAGTTTGGATGTTTATTGTAAGAAACATAGTTGCAGCATATCAAAGTGCAATACAATTTTATCTGCTTTCACTGTCATTGCAATAGTAAAGCAGGATAAGCATATATTTTGAAAAGTCATTTCAAAGTAAGATTTGTCTCAAGAAGTTAGTGATGGACTAAAGTAACAGGAATGCTGCAAAGAATGACTTAAAGTATAATCGTGTGCAAGTTTAGACAGAAATAAGTCCTACAGTTCCCAGGATAGGGATTCAGGGAGCTGTAAGACATTTTTCTGTCTAAGCATGTATAATATCGTGTCCTTAAGCAGCACAGGAGCAGTCACTGAAATGGCAAAATACTTCAAAGCATGAGGGTGATCTAAATTTAGAGTAAATTCCTTTTTATTTTTAAGAGCATTTCTACATGAGGCATTTGTGCACCCGTAATTCCTCTCCCTTTGTGGTTTATGGAAGCTTTGCACAACAGCCTAATCCTCCAGTGCCTTTCCTGTTCTTCAGTTTCTGCAGTTTTTTTAAAGGAAAGTCTAGTATTACCTGTGAATGGCAGCATGAAACCCTTGTTTATTTGCACAACTTCATACTGTCTAATGGTTGTGTAAAGGAAGAAACAGAAATGCAGAAAAATGAAAGCTGCAAGAAGAAACACATAATGAGGCCATTCCACAAAGAATTCAGAAGCAGAAGCCTTGGACAACTGGCAGGTTAAAAGCCTCACATAGAGTTGGGTTTAGCATATTTGAAAGCTATTTTATGCCTATGCCCAAGTAGTAAAGATGCCATATCCAGATTCAAATAGCAGGCACATATATATAGCCATCCATATGTAATGAAAATTAAACCATTTTGTTTCCATCCGAATCAATGTTTCGGTCAAGTGCAGGCACTGTGGGCTTTACGGGAACGGATCACAGAAGCCTTGACATGTGATGGATTTGTTTTCAAATATGACATTTCGCTCCCTGTGGAAAGACTATATGATCTTGTAACTGCCATGAGGACAAGACTGGACAAAAGTGCCAAGAATGTGGTGGGCTATGGCCATCTAGGTAAGGTGGGCTATAGAGTGTGTTTAAAAACAGTCTTTCTTTGTTTTGAGTGGTTTGGGTTAAGAGTTACTGTAGTAATGTAGCTGGCTACAACTCCTAGCATCCCCTCCCCACACTGCAGATCCAGGTGTTGGTCATTAACAAGCTCTTTCTGCTATCTCCGGTGTCCTTGAGGCCATAATTTCTGATAACACCCAAAATATATCACAAAGGGAGAAGGTGATGCCCAAGACCTGCTAGAATTTATAACATGTAACCTGAGAATTTAACCCTTCCTTCACCCTCTGGAAATCAGAAGGCTGGTTCACATTACATCATCACCTGCAATTAGGTGGGCATGGATTGAAGAAAGGGTTTTTTTTGCCTTCTCATTCCACATATGAAATTCCTCAGGGTGACTAATCTGATATCAGCCAGTGCCAGCTTTAGGTTCTTGAGGCAAGACATTTTCAGTGCGCCCCACTCCCCCGCTCAGTGAGTCTTCCTCTCACTGCCACGTCTTTAGCTGCTATTGTTCCTCAATGGAGAACCAGTTCAGGGTTTGCTGGGAGCTTAAGGGTTAACCCTGGGCATGAAAGCCAGACTGTCTCAGCCAGGTGGCACCTCAAGGAAAACCAGGGGCCTAGGCTACAAGAGACTTGACAGCAATGGGAATGCAAAACACCCTAAATTACTTCCAAGGACAGAGCCATTCACACACACCCCAAGGCTGGAGATTGCAGCTCTGAAGGGTGGATGATCTGCACCTGGGTACTCTCAGGAGATGTCCCCCCATGAGTCATCTGTTTGATCTAATGGGATTAAAACAGGGAGCTAAGGGAGATTGGGGTTCCTCTTTTTGGAGGTTTTTTGTTGCCACCACAGGCTCTGTTGAAAAACACTGTGCTACTCTACTGAGAGAAGGCCACGCGGGCATTTTATACTGTGTTAGTGGTAGGAGCAGCTAGCTTTGTTATTTTCAGTCTGAGGAGGACAACCAGGTCTTGTGGGGAGCTGAGTGGAGTGGATCCAGTGAAACTGCTGCTCTCCAAAGTCCCTGTTCCCTTTCCTATCATGTAATGTGCGATGTGTATTTTAGTGTTTTAAGACCCTTCACTCCTCTTTTGTCTATTGTCTTTTTAATAAACCTGTTTTGTCCCCAAGCTTGGGTTTTCATGTGCCTGGCCCCAGGAGTTTGGGGTTCAGGGGAGCAGGGTGGAAGAAAGACCCCTACCAGCTGCTGGGAGGTGGGGACTTGGGACTGGCTGAGTGTTACAATCCCCCTTTTCACTATTGCAACCCTTGCTTGCTGGACAGGTAGTGAGTGGGCAGCAGCATCTGCTGCTCCTCCTCACCACCATCGTTTCCTGGGCCACGCCAAGGAACAGGTTGCAATGGTGACGTGGAGGATCAAATCTAGCAGCCCTTCTCATTGGCTCTGTTGCACTTTGAGTCTTTGGCAGATGTTCAGACAATGTACCCTTGACACTTGCTCCAACAAGTATGCAATGTCTTAGATTCCCTACCCTAAGTACATAAAATAAGTAAAGAGAAAATACAGATAAACAATGGACGTGACAAGTCGTAACTAAAAGAATTGTCTACTTTTCTGTTTGGAGGCCAACTCCCTACTCTTGTTTGCTTTGGCAGGAGATGGAAACCTGCACCTGAATATTACAGCAGAATCCTATAGCCATTCTCTGCTAGCAACCATTGAACCATATATATATGAATGGACTTCTCAGTATCATGGCAGTATCAGTGCAGAGCATGGTCTGGGGTTCAAGAAGAAACAATACATCCACTACAGTAAACCAAAAGAGGCAGTTCTTCTCATGCAACAGTTCAAGACCATGTTGGATCCCAAAGGAATTCTAAACCCTTACAAGACTTTACCAGTCAGGTCTGCATGACTGCACCTATGGGAAAAATGTTATACTTTCTGCAATTGTAAATGGAGGTTTCCTTCGCCACTTATTCATTCTGAAAAAAAGAAGCTGGATTATCTTCTCTACTGGCTATCAGTTTATATACTCTGAACCATTTGGAAAGCAAGGAGCATTTGTAGTTTGAAACTTGTCTAAGGATTTTACCTTCAAGTTTTCAGATACCTTCTTATTTTCAGGGCTTTGTTCTTATCTGCACACTACGACTGAAGATCCCATGACCATAAAGATAGGAGCTGGGAATCCAGCAAACATGAGTCCCAGCCAGTGTGGCCAATGATCAGGGATGATGAAAGTTGTAACCTGTCAAATGTTCATTGGACCACAATTTCTTCACCCCAACTCTGTAGAGTATGAAAGCTACAAATACTTCATAGGATGAAGTTCATAGGATGACTCACGGCTTGGAAACATAATTTAGAGGAGAAAATGACAGACTTTGGGCATGTCAGCTTGTCTTGGCTTCCATCACCATGGTCACATATATTCAAAATACAACCAACTGATTATTCAAGGTCCTCGTAGGAGTGTATATTTTCTGCTTGAAATTAACAGAGGAAACAGGGTTTTTTCTTGGAAACAATAAATATGTACAGAAAATATTCCCTTGAATTATGTCTTTGATTGCTCTGTGTCTCACTACAACCTCTGTGTCTCACTCTGTGTCTCACTATAAGTTTCCTCATCCTTATTTTACAAGATTATGAACAATACCTTGTGTAAGCTCAGGCTGAAATTTGATAGTATGTTGGTTCAAACCAAGTATTGACTCAACTCACTGGTTTCCTATAAAGTGAGAGCTTAGGGTGGTTTCCAGAGAGGCTAGGTTGTGGCCACTGCAGGGGCCTGAGCCCATCAAGTATATCCCAGGGTCCTTTATCATCCATTGAAATACTCAGTTTTCATGAAGAAAACATAACAATAGGTCTCTAGGCTAGCCTTGCCAAACCTGGCTCTCTCCAGGTGTGTAGGAGTCCAGCATCCCCCATGTAGTAATGCTTAAGATACTGGGAGCTGTGTCCCAGTACTTCTAGAGGCTTTCTATTGGGGGATTAAGCTCTAGACCTTAAAATTGTAGAAATAAAAGGAAAAGCATGGAAGCATTATTCTATTGAACTGATCACTAAGAATACCTTGAAAACAATGCAGTAACTACTAGAAGACTATATGGGTTGTCAATAACTAATCCTACCAGACTAATCCAATGTTATTTTTTTTGGTTGGGTAACCTCATTCATTCCTGATGAACTGGGAATGCTATGGACATAATCCATCTTGACTTCAAGCAATACTTTTGACAAAGTGCTCCATGATATCTTGGTTAGCAGACTAGCTAAAAGTGGGCTAAATGGAACAACTACCAGGTGGATATTAGCTATAGAATTGGACTAGGAGAGTTCTCATCAATGGCATCTGCTCATACTGGGAAGAGGTAGCAAGTGGGGTACCACAGGGTTCAGGCCTGGTGCTCTTAAACATTTTTATGAATGATTTGGACAGTGCTTTTTTTGTAAAAAAAAAAAAAAAAAATTCCGGAACTGGTTAATCTTTTATTTTTTTAAAAAAAATCAGTTCTTAACATAAATTTAATTTATTGTATTTCAGGCAAATGTTCATAGTAAACTTATTTACCTTTTGCACGTAGCCAGTCACTTTACGCACACATAAACCTAATGGTCGCCGCCAGCAGCAAGCACTCAGCATGTGACCTCACACACCAATCCCAAGCCGAGCAGCGTCCCAAGCCAAGACGCCCTCACTATCAGCACGGACACACAAGCAGCCCGCAGGCACTATGTTAATGATTTTTGCCCTGACCTGCTACGCCCGACAGGCGATTCAAAATCACTTCGTAAAATCTATTGGGGGAAAAAAGGTGCCGGAACGCAGTTCCGGTGAGTTCTATGACAAAAAAAGCCCTGGATTTGGATGAAGACATGCAGGGAAGAATTATCATATTTGCAGATGACACAAAACTGGGTGGAGTAGCTAATACCCTAAAAGAGAGAAATAAGATTCAAGTTGATCTTGATAGGTTAGAGCTCTGGGCTGAAAATTGGGGAATGAAATTCAATTTCTTAGATGCCAAGTTCTGCACCTAAGAAAAAGAAATCAAAGACATTACAAGATGGGGAATACTTGGTTCAACAATACTGCAAATGTGAAGGAAACTGTAATTGTTGTAGATCACAAGCTGAATATTAGTTAATAATATGATGTGGCTGCAAGGTAGGTAAATGCTATTATAGGCTGCATTAACTTTGATATATAAAGCCCTAAACTGTGTAGGGCCTGGATATTTGAGGGAAGTCTTCCAGATACACCTGCCTGAACTTTAAGATCTTCCACTAAGGTCTTCTTTAGGAGCCCTCTCTGAAGAAGGCTAGAAGAGCGGCTACCTGGAATCTGCTCCTCAGAGAGGTGGCCCTGGTGCCAGCACTTTATTTCATTTGGCACTAGGCCAAAACCTTTTTACCCAGTAATTTAGGAGTTGATGGTTTATTACAATGGGCATTTTACTGTATATTTTTATATTGCATTTTAAAGTTCTGTTACTGGTTTGTGATCCATCCTGAGATCCGTTTTGGGTAAAGATGGGGTAGAAATTTTTTAAATAAATAAAATCAGCAGAAGTATCACTTCCAAATCATGTGAAGTACTAGTTGCCCTTTTTTCAGCACTAGTTAGGCCTCATCTGGAGTCCTGTGTCAAGTTCTGGGCACCACAGTTGAAGAAAGATGCAAACAAGCTGGAAAGAGTTCAGAAGAAGGCAACGGGGATGGTCAGGGACCTGGAAACAAAAGCCTATGTGGAGAGACTGAAATAACAGGGCATGTTTAGCCTTAAGAAAAAAAGACTGGGGGGAGATATGCTAGCGCTCTTCAAGTACTATCATCTCTCCTATAACTATCAAGTTATAACAAAGAGGAAGGCCAGGATCTCTTCTCAATCATCCCAGAGAGCAGGTCACAGAATAAGGGGCTTGAGTTACAGGAAGCCAGGCTCTGGCTGAACATCAGGAAGAACATCTTGTTAGAACACTTCAACAATGAAACCAATCATGTAGGGCAGTTGTGGGCTCTCCCACGCTAGAGGCATTCAAGATGCAAGTGGACAGACATCTGAGAGGGATGGTTCAAATTGGAAACCCTTTGGCCCCTGACACGTCCAGCTGAGAGAGGGTGCAGTGCCAGAATGAAAACAGTTATCCTGTGTTTGTGTGTGTGTGTGTGTGGGGGGGTCATTTTCCTCTCGCATGGCCAAGCCTGCCACAAGGAAGTTTGTATTGAGGAGACTCATTGCTGGACATCTGAAACATAATGCAGGAAACTCCATACATTTTTAAATATGGGCAACCCATTTATCCTATACTGGTTTGCTTCGAAGTAAGCCCCATGGTAATGTTGGTGTTGCCCTAATATAAGTATGTTTTATACTTTAGAATATACAAAGCTTTGCCAGTTTCCCTTCACCCCTTCCCAATCTGCAAGGTTTTTTTTTTCCATTCAGGTTCCTTGTATGGAAAAAAGGAGACTAGCCTCAGAGCTCCAGGGTATGCAATAAAATATATAAAACACAACCAGCAGGGGAATGATACCACGTTTGGATATTCAAATACTGGGCCAGCTCTCTCATTGTCTTAAAGACATTTCCTACCTCTGACAGTAAAAAGCAAACGAAACCTGTTAAATTCTGTAACTCCTGATTGTTTTATTTGTTCCCCGTTACTCAAGCTCTGGATGCATCATGTTTTTCAGATGTGTCTGATTGTAATTTTGTGCTTCTATAGTTCTTGCATATCACCCATTCAAGGTCTCCTTCCCCCTCCCTGCAAAAGCATTCATGACCCCAGCTCCATAAAACACTGTACATGTCCTGTTCCTTGTAGCCAGTACTAAACTGCTACCCTTCAGCATAGCTGTAATTTAGGAATTTCTGTTTAAATTTAGGAATTTACAACAGTAAATAAACTGTTGAGTGCTTGATTTCCACTGAATCCAGGTATTCATTCTAAGCAGGTCTGGAATCCTGACAGATAGCAATTAGTCTTACTCCCAAATAAGTCTGCACAGGATAGCAACCTGTATTGTATCATTTCCTAGTGAGCAGTAGGGCAGAAGTCAATGTCTGCAAGTTTTCCCTTATTTTTCCACAAATAAAAGACTTCCCCTTTTTTATATATATGGAGGAGGTCTAGAATATTCTTAAGGGGGAAAGGATCTCTATGGCTATGGCTGCAGCAGTGGGGCCATTCATCTGAGCACAGAAACAGAAACAGTGAGTCAGAAGGGTCCTCCCAGACCATCTAGTCTGACTGCTGGCTCCAGCCAGCTCTGCCCATGACATGCCTACCATGTGCATGTCCAGCCTATCCTTGAACACCCTCACCAATGGGGCGTCAACCACCTCCCATGCAAGTGCAAACTTCTTTCACTGCAGGCTGTGTTCCTTTCCTGGATTTAGCCAATAAATTCATTCTTGTAAATTCTAAGATTAACATAGTTGTTCCACAGTTGATATTTAAAAAGGTTTTGCAAATTAAACATATATTTTTTTAACAGATAGCAAGCCTCTGATCTGTATTAGCATATAAAAATGCCTACAGACACAGGTTAATGTTTCATTTTGATTGTAATGGAAGAATGAGTTGTACCCTTAATTTTCAAGTATTGACAAGTCTTTCAATTTTCTAAGGTGTGAGCAGTTTCTGCAACTTCCTCCCCTGAATAGTTGTCATGTATTTCCAAAAAAAGGCAAATGTTTATTCTGAAGATGTTTTTCTGAAAGTATTTTTAAATCACCCAGGTTTATATTTACTGATACAGTTGCAATAGTATCCTGAGAAAACCTCTTTATTGCAAAAACATGGGCTAAAGGCCATAGTTGGCCACATTTCAGTTTAAAAAATCCATTATGTATGATCAAAAGACTTTTATGCCACTAAGGAAATTAAAATCTTTCAGGATATTTGAAAAATCTTATTCTATCTCTTACTCATTTCCCTGCTTTAAAAACAGCCTTGTAGATGCTATCTTTAACTGAACTTTATGGGAATAGCTGCTGACTCACAATGTGTGCTCTGTATTTCCTGCTTTTGGGTTGTCTAACAGATACTACTAGCCTCCAGTCTTATTTTCATCCAGCAGTCACAAAGGACCTCCTGATAAAATTACTGTCCTTCTTTCCCAGTGATGCCCCATGATGCCCCTTTGATATGCTTGCTGATTCCCAGTTGAAGCCATGGCTTGAATATAATTCACACTATATTTGGATACCTCTTTAGAAGCAGACAGAAGTCAACAGCAATGGGTCCTCTTAGAAAGTGGACAGAATGTACAAGTCATGGGGTTTATGGAAAGTCTACCTCTCCATCCTGGCATCCTCTCACCTGCTTCCATGGTCCTTGTGTTCTCAGGCATTTGGAGAAGGTTTTGCATGGGAAATTCTCCCTTCACTACATTCAGCATATGTTAAACCACAACATCTGCAAATATATTCAAATTGATATTATGTTGGGAGATTAATGACATCTTCAACAATGGTAGATAGCATAGTTACTTTTTGGCCCAAAAGAACTCCATAAGAAATGCAATAATGCTTT